GGGGGGGGTGCCAGACATTTAAGCCACTTAAAATGAATGCAATTTAGCGAGTATCCCTGAGGAGATTGATCGATCCAGCTAGTTTTCTAGGATGATAAGAACACTCCCCAAGAGTATATCTATCGATAGTATATTTATTGTGATATCTGACAAAACCTACTGGTTGGGTGATCTGGTGAGAGGACAGGGACATGGCTGACAGTCAGATGGTGTCCCTCTAGTGGCATCACCATAGTAACCTGGAGCACAGCGCTCACACTGGTCTCCGACAGTGTTGTGTTGACAAGCCTGAGAAAGAGAAATCATAATCTGAGATCATACTGGGGTGATGACAATATAATTCAATACAGGTTTATGTGAAAAAGAAAACCATCTCTCAGCCAATATTACAAAAACACACAAAATATACAAACAGCATATATGCCAAATACTATGCATGCAATATCTGGAAGTTACTTTTGCACATTTTGGTGACAGAATTTTCATGATATATCTATAACTTTACCATACTGTAACTGTATTATTACTATGTAGTAAATTAATACTATCTGTATGTATCATGCATTGTTCCTGTGCTATCATAATTGTATCTTTGTTTGCAATGTCACTGGTGTAACTAACTCATTATTGTTTAGTTACTGTAAAGTTGCTGTATTATAAAGTGTCATTATTGTATTGATACTGTATAGTGTATTACCCTGCAAACTCCATTCTCTGGGTCACAATCATTGGAATGTCCATTACATTGACATGGTTCACACAGACCAAGGTACAGACCACCTCTGGTTCTAGTATAGCCCTGGGCACAGTCCTAGAACATAAGATTATACAATTGTTTACACAGTCCTAGAACACAAGATAATATAATAACAGTTTACATTGTCCTAGAACAGAAAATGATGTAGTCTACCATGAATTTAAAGTAAAACCATAACTTGAAGAAAGTAAAGTGTGTGTGTGTGTGTGTGTGTGTGTGTGTGTGTGTGCGACAACTTGTCTTATAAGAGACTGGCTAACTGCATGTCCTCCTTCTCTCTATCTTTTGGTTTCTCCAATTTATACATTCAGTTTCATTCACCTTTCACTCTTTTGGCCAGAATTATCTTATATACAGATCACATAATGTATATCCTTCTTTCATATATCAATACCTGCACAAACCAAGAAATGCAGGTGGTAATTTTTCAACAGATGGAGCCAGTGTACATCCTATTCCAGCATATGATTGGCTGAAATTCTTACCTCACAAGACAAGCCCTTGTACCCTCTAGGACAGGTGCACATCTCCACAGCTAGAGCTCTGTCCTGGCCAGTATTACGGTCCTCTGCTATGTCCATGGAGATGTCCAGCAACCTGAAAATATATGGGAAATTAGAAAGAATACAATATTGATAAAACATTTATACAGCATGGGTATGCATGAAGTTTGTTCAAGGATTTCCATTGTCTCTGAAGGCACTGTAACATCAAACTCTGTATTTTTAGCATTCCTTCTTTAGTCACTCCTTTCAAAGTTAAATAGGCAAGTAAAATTTATCAGCTGCAACATAGAGTTACTGTGGAAGCATCTTCAATCAACAACTATAAATAGAGAGGTCATTTTCTACCATTTTTGGGTAGACCTGTCAACTATATTTTTTCAGTCTGTATTTTTTTAACATTAAGCATGGAATTATTAACTTGACCTCAGAATTTAAATTCCTGTACAGAATTTCATACATACTCTTTTTGTTTTATAAAAGTTCATCAAATTCACAATCTCACTTATACAATTGCATGTAAATATGCAGTTTATTTGCAGATAAAACTGTCACCTGGTTTCCTGAGTTCTCCCAGTGTACGAGGCCTTAATGAGGATGGCAGACAGATCAGACAGGGCCATCATGATAAACTCTCTGCTGGCAGGGGAACCATCAGGACGCTGCCAGAATTGCTGCAAATTGGAACAATATGGCTACAACTCTTAAAATACTACAACATTCTAAACCACAATTTTATCAAAACTGATAGACCAAATAACATGGAATATCCATATTCCATAATATTACAACAACATCTACAGTAAACATTAAAATGAAAGACAAGATTTTAACTGATTAATTTCTGACACATTTATGGGTATCTAAAAATGTTAAGCAAGTTACAAAACCTGTCCTAAGAGAAAATTTATAAAGAGGACAATCTTATTTTAACCATATTACATAATGTACCACTGACAACTTACCTCATAGAAAGGCACTTGGAAGGACTGCTTAGTTCCAGACAACATGACGTCACTGTGTCTGTATGTCAATGTGATGTCATTACCCTGAAATGAATAAGTGTTATGTCATCATTCTTAACTAAATGTGTCATGTCATTACCCTGAAATAAATTAATACAATGTCACAGCCCTAAAACAAATGTATGATGTCATTATCTTGCATATAAGTAAGTGATGTCATATTCCTTAAACTTAATAAAGTTGCGTATGATGTCATACCTTTTAAACAGATATGTGTGATGTTATTTCCCTGGAAATAATAAAGTTTTAAGAAGTTTTGTGTGTATGCAAGATATACCAATTCTGTCTCTCCTGTTCTCATGGTATAAGTAATATTGAAGCACTATCACTTACCACAATGATGACATCAGGCTCAGTGGTGGGAGCATCTCCAAGGTCAGAGAAGGAGATGGTGAACCTCAAGTTACCACCATAGGCCGTCACCTAGAATAACAATTTTTATATGCATTGGTTTTTTACCTTGTAGCATCTAATATAAGGAACAGTGAAGTTGTTTCGATGGCATTTTCACTGCTTGAGATTTGTTGCTACTTTTATGTTAGACAGTTATTGAGACCATGGCAATAATAAAAGATAGATCTGAGTCTGTACATAAAAAGTCAAACATTGCATTCATCAAAAGGTCTGTACTATAAAGATATCAAAATTCTTATCAGACTTAGTATGATAAAATGCATACAATATCAATACAAAAAACATTATATAATAGCACCAATAACAAACCCATATAACTCACCCTGTCCCCAAGGAATTTCTGTGGCAGAGACCAGTAGTAAGTGTCCTGAGGCAGGCTGAGCAGGTTCCTATAGACCAGTGACCGACTGGCAGTGTCCACTACCATCCCCTGGTCATACTGCTGGTCATTCCTCTCAGTGGTCAGTTTAAATCCTTGGGTGTCAAAGGTAGAAAATACAGCACTGATCTGGAAAATAACACAATCGGGGACATATAATTCCATTTGAAATGCCTTTCTTACAAAACACATATCTAAAATTGTAGTTCATTTATAATAAACAAAATTAATACAGAAAAAATTTTGTTCTACTTCAGTTTCAGCCCTATTTTTCTTGTTATCAAACAAGAGAAATGTTTTATTTAATTGGACACATAACGATTTAGTAGACTTTACATTTGGTCCAAAATTTTAGACCAATTTAAAAACATTCAATTATGAAATCATCCAAAGGAGATAAACAGTGACCAGAAATTGAACAAATTTACAAAATCCACTGGCCTGGCCACAGTTTAACTGGCATCTGGCAGATGACCAGTGTTACTGTCCCAAACTGACACGAGATCCTATGTGTACCAACCTGGGCCCTGTTCCATGTTGTACTGTCACATACTCTGGTGACTGCACTACAGAAGCAGGATATACAGCCGTATGGATTGTTCTCTGATAGGAAAAACGTGTTGGCCTTGCACCTGTCACAGTATGGCCCCTCTGTGTTCTCCTGAGTGATTGAAAATATAAGCCAAAAAGGATCATTTGCTATTCATAACAAAGTTCAACAAGGGAAGACCAATCTATATTATAAAGCTTTTAATTATGTAATTTTGTATTTGTATGTCATTTATATCATCATTCAAAATTTTACATCATGGGACAGATGTTTTGTTGTGGTTTCACCCTCTTTGTGTGACATGTCAAACAGACCATTTGATTCTATGTGCAGTGTCAAAGCTTTAACTAGCCCACAAACTTATACCAATGCCAAGTTTGCATCATGGTGTATTACTTGTTAAAGGAAAGAATAAAAACACTAAAATAATGGTGTACGCAGATTGCCTTGTGCACCAACATGACGCAATTATTGTTATTTAACCAACCACCGAACAAGATAACCTACCAGAGACCTGACACAAACACCCACCTTACACAAACATTGTCCTCGTCCATCTGGTTGTGGTAAGCGACTGCCAGCTGCATTACATGTCACTTAAGTAGAAAATATAAATAAATACATAAATAAATAAAAACAAGCAGCTTTTCAAAAAAAATTTATCTCATAAAAATGGAGAAAATAGTGCAAAACTTAGTGAAAGGTAAGCACTAAACAAGTTTGTTAACTTTTACAATACATTGAATGGTTCATGGACATTTACCTTTTCTTAAATTATAAATAATATTTTCTATATATAGAGTTAAATAATTAACAGTCTTTAAATTATTAATAGTTAACAACATGACATGTTCCAATACCAGATTCTGTCACCTAGAGTGTACCTACCAGTAATTGCGACACAGCGACTTCCTCTGCGTTGGTAGCCTGGGGCACAGTCACGGCACAATCTGCCCTGGTATCCCGTGGGGCAGCTGCGACATCTCACCTGTCCATCTCCCTCTACATAACATTCTCTGGAATTGCTGAAACAGACAAGAAAAAAACTTATAAAGCAAGCTCTATAGAAATTGATTCACAACTGCCAAAACAGATCTGATCTAACTTCTTCTAGCACTGCTAACATGTGAAATTGTAGCAAACAAAAGACACTAGCCCTTCCCTAAAGTTGCTTCAAAGTGCTACATGTAAATGCTTCACTCAATGTCTTTAAACCAAGAAGCACGCCTGGTCACATAATAGCTTCAAGTAAATCAGAGTCATAAACAACTTGACAGCAAATAAGGGGTCAATGGGCAGTTAACAGTCTGGATGAAACATACAGCAAATCAAGGGCACTAATTAGTACTATTTCCCCCTCAATTATCCTAAAAATAGGTCCTTTACACCAGTACCTGATTATGACCATAAACTGTCCTTGAGGGTCACTGACAGTTAACCTGGCTATTAAAGGCTGTCAACCTAGGCCTACTTTTATCTCCATTTAATCAATAAATAGAACTATGTGGTCTATTTTTTTCATTTACAAAAACGAAAAAAAAAAAACAGTCAAGAGACACAAAAGTAAATGTTGTTTGTTACAGTACTACTAATCATTATTATCATTTTTCTTTTTTCTTAACTTAAAATGACTCTCCAAATACCATGGCTCTTTATTTTTAATAGAATGGTCCAGAATAGACTCACTATTAAATTCTCTCACCTTTAACTTTCACTACAAAGTACAAATAGTGATTATACTTACGGGTTTCTGGGGTCAGTCAGTGGACAAGGACACACCAAGCAGTCCCCAGGTGTCCCTCTCCTAGCATCACCATAGAAACCAGGCTTACACCTCTCACAGTTGTTTCCTTCTGTGTTGTGTTGACAGTTCTGGTGAGAAAATATATTGTAGAAGTAATTTTTGAGTTTATTATTAATATTATAATATCAAAATTCTGCATGGAAGTTGCTCTATATTAATCTTGAATCCTAATGGAGAAAAGATACACAGAAATTCAAAACATTCCTATTAAACTGACTTGAACTGTTAATATCAAGATTATTTCAAAATAATCTCTCCGATAATGATGGAGGCAAGTAAACAGTATTCTAAGAATTACAGGACACATATACTTACAATACAGACTCCCCTGTCAGAGTCACACTGGTTGGAGTGGCCATTACAGTTACATCCCACACACTGGCCCAGGTAACGGTTCCCTGATGGCATACGGCGGAAACCTTGGGCACATTGCTGAAATAACATCAGCACATCAGTTTGGATAGTGTGGAAAATTCCGGGGATGGAAAAATTTTATGAACTAACACAAGTGTAACCTTTTTTTAAGTATTGACTACAGTCTTTGCTAAAAAAAATGAATGTACTGGCCCTGCAAGGCACATCAAACGCACCAAAGCAAAATAGTTACCAGTAAGTAAACAAACTGTCAAAATTTCTTGACCAAGCAATAATTTTCCTGTCAAATGACCTATGGTTGAGGCGCCATACTCTAATTCAGACAATTCATTTGTAATTTTTCAAAACAATTTCATTACACAAAACATTTACAAGATATTTATTCATTCCAAACCAAATATCTGTCATTTTGTTATTAATAAGAGGAAGGGCTTAGCAGGCTTATATTACACCAATCACATCATTTATACATTTTATACATCGTTTATACACATAATTTCCTACAACATACTAATTAAGAGAAATAAAGTGGGATCAAAAATGTCTTTTCTGGTTGTACCTCACAGGAAGTTCCAGTATACCCAGTAGGACAGGCGCACTCTTCCACCAAGAAGGCGCGGCCACGTCCAGTATCCGTGGTCACTGCTGTGTCCAGGAACACATTGCCCAGTCTGGAGGAAGAAAAGAAATTTGATTAAAAACTCGTATTCTTACAGAAACTTATCAAGTAATTCTTTTTCATTAACAAGGGAACGTTCTAACATCGTTGCTTAAATTTTCCCTTCATATCATTTCATAGTGTTTATTTTTATTTTTTGTGTCATTATAAGTTATGAATAACAAATAAATTAGTTACTATCATTCATTTTACCATGACAGCTAACAACTGGACCATAATTTCTGCCATAGACAACACAAAAACATAACTTTCATACACTGACCTGACTTCAGTCTGGAAGGTGTCATAGCTTCCCCTTATCATAATATACTCCAGGTTCTGTAGCACCGTCATGATGTCTGCCCTGGAGGCAGGAGAAGGAACTGTCTGGTCACCACGACGAGGGGTTTCAGAAGTTGTCCATGCACTCTGGAAAAGAGGACGTTACATTTAATTTTAATATTTCGTGAATCAAGTTTTTCTGCTACAATCAGATGTTGAATACTGCATACTACTGTGATGGCTGCATAAACTGTCCTTATGATTTTTTTTACTGCTGAAATGAAAAGTTCTAATGGCATGTTAGTTTGTCTACCCTCTTTATATCATTCAATTATCACATCCCAACAGACTTTTTCCTTCAGATGGTATACATATACAATGAGCTCTGCGATACTGAGCTTAGTCTTTTAATGCACTTAAAAATCTCATTGTAATACTTTAAACCATTATCAACCACATTTAATCAAATGAGAAAATGTATGCTCTTTTTCCTTTAAATTTAAAAGTCATTCAATGAGAGACCCTTACCTCCACAAGGGGGACACTGATGCTCTCTGTCAAACCTGGCCTTGGCTGCGTCTGCCTCCTGTGATACAGTGTTATTCCATTACCCTATAAAAATCACAGTTCAACATAAATCAATCTTGGAGAATACAAAGTGTCAATGTCAAGGTCAATGCGAATGTCAAGGACACATGCAACATGGGTTCACATGTCTTTGGTGCTTGTGTGAATGCCACTGACAACACCTATTCTTGTAAAAGTAATTGTATGAAAAAAATGTCGCTTTTTATTCACAAATTATAATGTCTTACCATTCAACTAATTTATTAAAGAACTGTTTGTTAACGAATACTATTTGCTGATTATAATTTTTAAATTTCAACACTGATCATTAAATACCAAACAGGGCAACTGTGAAGAAACAAGCATGTGAAGTAGCGCCATCTACCTTCATGATGACATCAGCTGTGGCCAGTCTGCTCTGAGTGCCTGTAGGAGTCTGGTACTGGACTGTGTACTGCAAGTTACCTCCATAACTCGTGATCTGAGAAAAAATAAATCATAATTCTGAAAATAATGAGCATGAAGATGTACTGCACATGGATGTGAACACTAATCACTTTTGTATAATAAATTATTCATGTGTACTTTTTAAGGATGAGGTATTTAAATGGTTGGGAAGAAAATCATTCACCCCTGAATATCCCACATTTTAGAGAATTTCACATAAAACCAGCAGTACCCGAGTACTACAATTATGATCTCATCTTACCCTATTCCCTAAGAACTGTCTGGGCATATCGAAGTAATACAACCCTGATGACGGTCGCACTCTCCTGTTGAAGTCCTGAATCACAAACTCTCTCTGTGTGGGTAGGTATTGGACCAGGTTATTGGGCTGTGGGGCCCTGGTGTCTTTACTGACTAGTTCTACTGTGTTACCCATGAATAGCTAAAAAATGAAGAGAAAATCATTAAGAGATTGCTCAGAGGTTTTTGAGCACTTGAATTTTGCCTTTGCTATTTTAATTAACACTGACATATTTTTTAAAATCTCATAATTTCATTTATGTAATTTATATTATTATTTGTATTATTATTACTTTTTTTTTTGGGAATACAAATTTGCAGTTTTGAAAAAATGTGAATGGTGCTTTTGGGATGCTAGTTGCAAAAAGTGACATCAATATATGCTCCTTATATTTTAAATTAACTTTTATTAAAATTATTACCATTATTTTGTATTATTGCCATGAATGCTGGAACAGAAAAATCAATAACATAAAGTACCTGTGACAGGTGTAGATTACTACTTGTGCACTGGTCAGTAATACCAAAACAGAAGCACCGGATGCAGTCCCTGACGTTCTTGGCATCAGAGTTGAAAAATGGCGCAGAGCATAGTGGTGGGGAGGCTGAAATGGAACAAATTGTCAATATGAAAGCAGCTGAATGATTTAGTCAGGATTAATTGGAAAATATACATATTCTCTCTCAGAACAATTACTTCATACTTTTTAGAATTGTGTTTTGTGTTGATAATGACATAGTCAAATTACCTTAACTGGTAACTGCTTCTTTTCTGTTATTCTAATAAAAAACTTTCTTTCCTATTATAATTTTTTTACCCTTTTCTTCAAAAGCTTTCATGAATTCAACACATCGAATCACAGAAAAATAATCATCAAACTGTTATTTCAAAATTGCACATAACATGACCATTTGACCAGGCATTAATACACTAACTTTTCCTTTACTACTTACGTTTCACAACCACAATGGCGTCAGGCTGAGCAAAAATACTGCCTTTGTTATTCAGAGCTTCACAGGTGTAAGCACCAGCATCAGTCTCGATAGCATTACGAATAACCAGAACACCGCGACCATTTTCTGAGGTCTGCGTCGCTCTCGGTGGTTTGGGGACGTGCCCCCAGTTGAGACGCCATGTTATGAGGGGGACAGGGACGCCAATGGCGGTACAAGTTATGGTGATAGTTTCCCCAATGTTCACCATGATCATGGGTCGTGGGGGGATGGTGACAGTGGGAGAGGCTGCAAAGAAAGGGATCAGAGTCTCAGTAATTTCTCACAAAATTTTAATTCTATTTCAACAAATTAATAATCATTATTATTTTTAAAATGCCCAAGATTGTTGACAGAAATATCTGTAGAAAAATTCATTAAAATTTCAACAAATTTCATAATATTTCTAAAGTGCACAAAAATGCTGATCACAGTGATTATTTGAAAAAGATTATTTCAATTTCAGAGCAAAGCAGGTTGGCCTCATGTCTGGGGGTATGTTTTTGTGAGAAGCAAAAAAAAAATGTAAATCTTGGAAAAATGGAATATCGGAAATGGAGAGTGTTTAAATTTTGTGAGTAATTACTGTTGACAGAGATAACATTCTCATACTTGTAGAGAAAATACATGCCATGACATTATTTGCAAGAGAGCATTTCTTCAAAATTTGTTAAATGTTATATTCTTGTTTAAAATGCAAAACAGAAGTCACAAATCCATCTCATTAGAGAGATTCTGAAAAGAATATGTATTGTGATTAAATAAAATGCTAGCAAGATTTAATTTAGAAGAAAAGTTGGAATGAGACACACTTAAACAGAGAGAAAGTCAGTTCAAATGTCATCAGATGCATTCCTGAAACACAAAAAAAAAAAAAAAAAATGACAGGGGGGCACAATTCCTGCAAGACAAGACAATGTTATAAAAACAAGTAAAAAACAATACCCTCTCTGCTCAAAACTAGTTAATCAATCAATTAATAAAATTTAGCACAAGGACATCATTCAGAGAGAGAGTTATAAATTTTCAGTTCACATACTAAAGTTGTTTTTTTTTTCTGAGGGCACTTCTACCTCAAAGAAGAAAACAAGTGCCAAGTATATAAATAACATTGGACTTCCACACAATTGCAACAAAATGCATATTTTGCAACACAGAAGAGAAGCATCAGAACTGTAACTCACATACTAATGGTTCGCATAATTTGGGACTTTGTACTCATGCATCAATACACTGAGGACAAAGAACAAAATTCCCCCGATACTCTTGGGCGTGCAGAAACATTCCCAGTTCAGATGATTATTGAAGGAGAATATTAACTCCAAGTCTGAAATATTGCATATTTTCCCACACACTTACTGCAGCCAATTTCATCGGAGCTGTCCTGGCAGTCAAATTCTCCATCGCACTGGTAACTCTGAGGAATGCACTGGTTGCCATCGACGCAGCGATACTCATCTGCACGGCACGGGGCACCAGGGGGCGCAGTTGCTGCAAGACAAGATGAAGAGATGTGTGTATGGTTCTTACTATTCTTTTTTCATTTTCAAACCTTCATTTTGGCATGCTAATTGTTCTATGATAATTGAAGAGATTGTGCCAATCCCAAATGCTTATTCATTCTGAACTTTGTATTTCTATTGAAGGGCACATGACATAGCTTATAGATCTCTCTAATATTTGTGTTTATAAAAGTTGCAACACATAGGCATGTGTGGACATTAGAAAATGAATAAAGCTGGATCATGATGGTTCTATATCTCAGACTACCATGTGGCCACATCACCATTTTGCCACCAAGTGCTGTTCAATACTTACGACAATTCTGTTCATCAGAGCCATCGCCACAGTCGTTGTCACCATCACATATCCAGATCTTGAGGATACACTTGCCATTCCTGCACTGTCTCTCATTGGGTTCACAGGGTATGTTCACTGCAATGGTAATTGCACAATGATGATAAAACAAGGGAATGTCTTCATAATTTCAAAAACTAATTAAGATCTTTTTACAGATTTTTAAATTTTTTTACAAAATCTAAACAAGGCAGGTACACTGTAAATGTTACAAATACATACATTGATACATATTTATGTATCTATACATACAATTGTCATAAACTTGAAGAACTAAAATATATTGCCAGATTTTTTTAAAACCAAAACAATCCATAATTTTGAAATTATAATTGACATCTGCTAGCCTTCCTATGTCATTTAGAAATCAAAATTAGTCAAGTAGCTGTGGAAGACAAGCAAAAATATTCATTAGCTTGGTAGTTGGATTATAAATGAAAATTATCAAACACAAGCTGAAAAACTTTTATACTGTTAGCTTACAGCCGACCTACTTACAGCAGTTCAACTCATCGGATCTATCAGTGCAGTCATAGTCACCATCGCACTTGTAATCATTTGGAAGACATTTCTCACGGTCCAAACATTGGAACCGACCAGGTCCACAAGGACCCACTGGCCCTGGAGTGACCGGCTGACCTCCTAATGGAAAGCAATGGTCATTATGGTCAGTATGACTTATTTTCAGCAGTATTATATACTGACCAAATGATAATTGTAAATGTCTACAAAAAGGAGGTTATTTAGCCTATTTTAGTTAAAACTATTATTTGTAGTCAAACACTTGCACTTAATCTTCATTTCTCATGCACTGCTGGTTATTTTCACAATAAAAGTGATTTAGACGAGAATTTAAGCACTCTCATAAATATAACTATGACTTGGCTGTAGTTTTGATATATAACAGTAAATGTGTGGATAATTGCTGCCAATGAAATTATTTACTGCATGAACTAATTTCCATAATTTTTTTACTTGTCATAGTTTAATTCAAATAAAAAGGTCAATTAAATTAATGAAATAACAATAACATACTTGACACTATCAAACGTGCAGTGGCTTGGAAAGTGCCACCGGTACCTAAAGCTTGACACTCGTAAACCCCAGAATCTTCCACGCGAGCACCCTGTATGGTCAGCCTACCACGGTTGTCTGACGCCTTGAAGGGAAGAGCCTGGAACAACAGTCGCCAATGGGTTTGAAAAACAAACAAGACTTTATTTTCGGCTTTTATAAAATTACAAAATACAATTGCAATTAACAAAAATGTCACTGCAATATGGACTTATTTTGAGAACTTCCTCACAGTATCACATAATATGTGTGCAAGCATATGATGCATTAATAACCAGCAGAAGTCCACATTATATTCGAGCACCTTTAGTCTATAATAATAAGATGTGTAACATTATAAACTTTACAGGAACTTGTTTTATGTTTCCAAGTGTTCTGTATACCTGACTGCCTGCCTTGAACCACCTGACTGGCGGGGGAGGATTTCCTGTCGCCACACACTGGAACACAGCATCCCTGCCCTCCAAGATCTGCAACTGTCTCGGTGACACGGTCACTACAGTTGGGACAGCTGAAAGGTGACGTTTATAAAAAATTGCTATATTAAAAAAAAACAACTGTTGTTCCAATTGGTTGTCTTTGGCAACTTGACAAGAGACAAAAATGGGAAGAAATCCCATAATGCATTTGTGGCACAAGATGAGACTAACTCCCTACCAGAAAGATGTTTCTTTGGACTTGTAAACAATTAAATTTGGTACAGTTGACAAAAAATTAGAAATTCATTGTAGCAGAGAAGATACTTCTGTTAGCCAAATCATTCAGTGGCATTAAATAAATTTTAATTTCATCTTATTAATTTTTCTTTCCTTTCTCTCCCTATCTTTCTTAAATTTTGCTTTGTCACACAGTGTGTTCCCATTTAAAATAAATAAATCCCTAATATCAGTCTTATCTTGTACATAATGCCCCCTGTAGTTACAAAGTGAGATGGCGTCTGCTGAAATAAAATGTGATTTGGAGGATTTTGCATAACCTGCATTCATGGCACATGGAAAGCTCACATACACTGGTTACGTGTTACATTGGGCATCATGAAGCTTTCAGTTCATCCATGATATAACTTAATATAATAAATCTAACTAAGGTGAATGTTTGAGAGCATTTGGGCAGATATGTTGCAGTACAATTCTTAGATAGAGGTTAACCCCATATCCTGCATTTTTTTTAATGAAAAATAAGAGTCATTAAACTAATATAATATTTTCCTGAATTCATAAAAAATCAACAAATTAATATGAAAAAGGAATTAAAACATGATCATGTTCACAAGATGTTTTTCAAACATGGTGAAAAAAAATTGATTGATAAATATGGAATTATTATTAGAAAAGATAAAAAAAACTTTCCAGTCTCAGGTATAGTTTTAATTAAAAAGTTCCTAGTCTCAGGTATAGTTTTAACTAGAAAGTTTTCAGTCTCAGGTAAAGTTTTAACTTAAAAAAGATATTGCATAACTGAAAGATATATGAGATTACATGCAGGATACAGAGTATGGAGTTGAGTAGGACACTTAGACCACATTCAGAATGAAACATCATACCAGTTGGATCGGTCCAACTCTGTTGAGGATTCTTGCTTAAGTGCATTCAGTGTAATCATCTAAATTGTGTGACACGCCTTGTTCAGTAGCTTAAGTTAATAACCTCACTGAAACTTGAGAAGGCATGTCAGACTTTTAAGCTGATAACAGTGGTTACATTTAGGGAGAATATCCCACAGAGTTGGATTGTTACAACTAGTATGATGGCTTTATCTGAACGCTCCCTTAATCTGTAGAAGTAGGTACCTAGAGATATTGTTTATGGGCTCACCAACAATTTAATTGCACTGCAACTGTGATGCAACTGTTTTAGGTTTTAGTACATAGGCTTCTTTCCAAGCACATTTTCTATCACTTTTTTTTGTCTAATTCAAATTTGTCATTCAAAGTAAAACTATTACTGACCAGAAAATGGCCTAGCTAATAAGGAAAAGTATGTTCCATTTCTGGTTAGAAATTTTAGTCTCCTTTGAACTTGGCAATTATCTCCAAGTAATTGTTTGCCAATACATTTTTTTTCCAATATTTTTTTGCCATGAGGAGAGTTTTGAAGCACATTTTATTAGAATGTTTGGGGTTTCTAAAAGAATTACAGTGGAGAATAATAAAATTGTCATGCAGGTTTTTCATTTACAAATATCTAAATTCTACACAGAATATTAAGAATGAGATCCATATAGAGACAGATTAAGGTTTACAACAGGACAACATTCTGGACAAAACTGATACATCATAATTATTTGTTATAAACATTATTATTTGTTATGTTAGATTGAACTTAAGAAAGCTATCTGTTAATATTTTCCCTTTTTTGTTCAATTTTCCAGACTTCACTTCTTAATAAGATTATACAACTGTGACATTGATAATCATAAAATATATGAAGGGAACAAAATAATTAGTTGAACCTATTACATAAAGATATTACAAATTTCAAAATTTCACAAACCTACAGCCAATTTGAAATGAAAATGAAATGGAGAATGGAATGAAAATCAACTAAGCTGAAGAATATTCTCAAATACATAAATCATAAAACTTTATGATAAAGGTTCAACTAAAGGTCATTCGTTCACCCTCACTTACGACAATTCAACTCGTCGGAGCGGTCAGAACAATCGTATCTTCTGTCGCAACGACTGTTCCGTGGAACGCACTGACCATTCCGGCAGCGATACTCTCCCGGCAGGCAGAAGGCTGTCAATTGTAGTAGAACAGGATGCAGTAGTAAATAGAGTACAATATTGTCCATTTATTCTGCGATCTCACACCCACATGCTTTAGGATTTCTCAGAGGTGGTGCGTACTGCAGCCAATATATGGACAATGTTGTGGTACTAAGTAAGTAAAAGTCAGTACTATAATTTGGTCTCACTCAAACAATTCTTGCAATTTTGTAATTAATTTGGTTGAATTCAATTTAATGTATTTGTTTATCATATGCAATAATCAATCTATTATAACAGATCTGTTTATGATTCACCAGACAATTACCTGCATAAGACTTCTGTCTAACGCTTCAAAATATTTCAGCCAAACATTAACATAATGCAAATGTTTTAGAGTGATTCCATGTTGCTATGTTGGGCTTTCTATATAAATATACTTCACAGTGACATTGATTTTTATAAATGAAACATACGCTTACATCCAAAGCACAAATTATAATATATTTGACATTGTCAAACTTAAGTCTGCAATTTATACTGTTACAAAAATAATTTAATACTGTTACCAAAAAAAGCTTTTGCTCCAACTTACTGAATAAAAAGCAAAATACAACAAAGCTTTATCTGTCAATATTGGTGAATGTGTGTAAACATACATATATTAATTTGAACCAATTGCAAAGCAAGCAATATTTGCTGCATTTCTGTGAATATATCCCAAGCCCAAGCAAGCATTTTTTTTATCAGAGACAACTAGTGGACATTGTTAAATGGCAGACATCCAAAAGGCAGAAGAAATTGGGTTGGAAAATAGAATAATTTGAAAGAGGAAAAATTGGAAACAAGGTGGAAATAATACTACTACAATTTTACTGCTACATTTAAAGTGAGCAAAAATACTTGAGATGACTATTCTTAAGTATATGGGAAGGACAAGAAAAAACTTTAAATTTATGAATGTATAGAAAAAGACAACTTAAAAAAGGAATGTGAGTTTCAAAGAATTTGAACCAAAACTGTGAGGTATACCACTATTTCCAAGGATAATATTCATATTAAAACCACATCAACTCAATAAAGTAGGATTAAAACTAACACCATTGAAAAAATTCCACAATTTAACAAGAAAATGAAACTGAAACAGGTGTTGCTCGAAAGAAATTTAGCAAAATGTTAGGAATGGAAAAGACATGATGTGTTATAAAACATTTAATTCAAGCCGTCCAGTACATGTGCTTATAAATTTTGACCAAAATTTCTTTATACGAAAGGTTGGAACCACATTTCAACATAATGTACACATCCACTAAAGCACACTTGTACATGCGTGCACACACGCACACACACACACACACATATAAATACATACGACAGTTAACTTCATCTGATCCGTCCTGACAGTCCCTTCGCCTGTCGCAACGCTGGCTTGAACGAATGCATTGTCCAGACGTACACGTGAACTGGTTTGCACCACATGGTCGCAATGCTGGAATTATAAAAAGTTACCATATTTTTTAAATCATACTAACCATTAACTATAATAATAATAATAATAATAATAATAATAATAATAATAATAATATTTTATTAACCTAACATTTTACTCACAGTTAGTTTGAACAGAAGTTTGAATTGAGAGTGCCAATATCATCCATATTTATTGTTCCTGTTACGATTTTAAAACTGCAACTTTGTTTTATTTGCAAATTACAACCTGTTTTGTATAGCACAATTACATTTGCGTCAAAGGAATCCACATGTGGAATTTGGTATTTTGTGCTTTCATTAAGAACTTTAACTTTAACTTTGGCTATGACAGCATCAATAATTCTATGCCAATATTTTTTACCTATGACTCAAGGCATAATAATGAAGTCAATAAAGCAATTCCAAAGGAAAAAAATCCCATTAGGATTTGTTAGCAAGGAACATATCTGAATCACACATTCAAATATTTCAAGAGCTTGAGGCATTAAAAACATTCAGAAAAGAAACTGAGAAAAAACAATCATCAAAGCATTTAATGAAAACACTCAAACATATGACTGGCTGTGAGCATGGCCCATTAGAGTCAGTGTTATAAAACCAAGTTGTTTTATCAGCGATTTCCAACTGTGACACACAACAATCATAATGAGAGAAACTACCAGCAGTCCAAAACCACAGTAAGGAAGCCAAAGGGAAAAGAAGCAAGATCTGCATTGTCACATATATAGTAGATATGTTTGTATAATTGCAGCATATTAGATATATGTTTCCATAAGAATAAAAGGACAATTTTTAGTTTTCAAAATATTGAAGTTATAAGAATTAGTTTAATAATAGTAATAATAATAATAATAGTAATAATAATAATAATAATGGCATTTTACCATCTTTTTGTAATGAAAATGTGTACATTGCTGGTATTTAAAACACACATCAACTTCATCAGACTGAACAATTGCAAAATATTCTAATTCTGACCAACAATAATCTATAAATTGATGTTTGACTATATCTGTCAATTACACTTGCATCGTTCAAAAATTGGAACTGGTAGGTTATTCAAAAGCTTCCATGTTAATAAAGCATCCGCCACCAATACCACCAAGACTTAAACAAGGTATAGCAGTCTAGACAATACCGATTAGGCATTTGTGAATTCGAGCACAAATGCCCAAATTAACAACTAAAACCACAAATTAAGTACCCAATTAGTAGCCAGGAGCACAGCGTTCTGACACAGAAACTGCTCTGAAGCTGTGTTCGTGGCTACTAATTTTATATTCGGGTACTTAATTCGAACTGTTAATTTGGGCATTTGTGTTCCCAAATGTAAGGCTCTTGGTAGCATACAATGTACAGCAATTTCCGTTTGAGGCCTGCTTCTGAACCCATCACCTTGCGCTTACAAAAAAACATCCATTGCCACCAACTTATGCTTGCAACACACAGTTGTAACAGTCTAGGACATCTTGCAGTCAGGGTTGCAAACTCTAGGTATGCCTTTACACTGTTCTACACACTTCATAGCTTACTTATGTTCTTTTTTACTATTTTAAAAGTTATCATATACTGATCATATTTAGTATAAATTATATATTTAATATATAGTAATTTTAAAAAGTTGGCAACCCATAGTAAAGTTAATACTTAACATGTAGTGCAGGGCAGGTCCTTTGTTTCATAAATTCATAAAAAAATTTAATGTCCATTATATTTTTACCAGGGAAGGTGCATGCCTGTATCAGGAGATAAATGTAGTAAGTGGGAGCACAGTGAGAAAAGGGTGCACTAGGTAATGCTGTGCATGATGGGTAACAAGTTGCATTATGGGAAACAAGGTGCATTGTGGATTGATAAACCATAAGATTGGTGCGTGTTTGGTTACTGACATAAAGCAATGCCTTCTGGGTAATAAGGTACGAGCTATAAACAGGAGAGAAGGATAAGGAAAGGATATCGCAATAAACATCCACTTACGACAGTCTAACTCATCAGTGTTATCAGGGCAATCTTGCGTTCTGTCACAACGTTTTGCCTCTGGTATACAATTGCCGTTCTCACAGCGCCACTCTCCAGATCTACAAGGTATCGACTCTGAAACGGTGCCGGGTGAAAGAGGAATGTGCATGTGTGGGGGGAAGTGTCCTCCGGGATATGTGATGGGAGATCAGTACATTAATCATCATAAAAAGATACCAATTAAATGGCATGTGTTTGATGCAATTATTTGAAGCTGCTGTTTGCTAATTCAGAGGTACTTGTTGTGCCAAATGTTATTTGAATTTTTCTTTTTGATGAACTAATACTTCTACACGAGTACCTTCTTCACAATTTAGCTTTCAATTTCACTTTTTAAGTAACAAGTGGGACTAAGCACACCTTTATTGCAATTTTTTACCAAAAGAATAACCTATATGACAAGAAAGTGGTAGTGACAGTAATGGCATGGCCAGTTTATTGCAGATATATGAACAGCATTTCAAATGGTATGTTTTATTCAAAATTTAGTAGCGAAATAAAATTTAAAAGATGAAGAGTGGATATAAATGTTTCTCAGTGACAGATGTGCCTTCTGCAGTTCCACCTTCAAACGAACTCTCTAGTGATCAGATGCAGATGTTCTAAAGTGATCAGACACTGCCCTCAAATATCACTTTCTAAATATTTACTCAATATCTTGCGTACATTTTCAAAGAATTTTATTGAAGGTGTAGAGACCATTTCCATATGTTTATTGAATGTTTACAAAATTTTACTCTTTATGTACTCCAAATGAGGATGAGTTCTTTGTTCAATTCCATTTTGAAAACATGAAGTTAAAATGAAGATAATATCTTGGGGCATTTAGAAAATTTGTACAGGACACAGAATGCTGCAGATGGCAAGGGTTGTTTGGAAACTTTACAAATAAAGCAGGACCACAAATACTGTTCCCAATAAACACAATTAAATTTTCCATTTTCTTCCATGAGAATTTGAAATAAGTTTCTCTGTAGAAAGTGCACGTATAGAAAAGTTGAGAGGTGGATGAAAATATAATTTTGAACTCCTCTGCATCCATATGGCGGGAGATTTGTATACAAGATACATACACAATTTACAATACTTACAAAATGAAATTATCAAGGTGCAACATGCCAATTTTAAATTATCTAAGAATCTCTGGCAGTTCTACTGAAACTGGTTCAATTTTTCCATCTAACTGACAAAAGGCTGAATGTGACATTATTCAGCTTTCATGCTTCTAAAAGTGAAAATTTTCAATGCAGAGACTACATTTTTATCTATGTGTAATATGAATTAAGTGAAATCTTGCTGGGAATGCTCTTAACTTTCAAAATTATTGCACAAATTAGGCTATAATTCAACCATTTGGCCAAAATCAAACACAATGAATGAAATTTGTACAAAAGGTTAATCAGTGAAGTAGGAAATTCTATTCTATGTGACACGAAAACTGATGTGAAATGAATACCAAGTCCCTAAATTCCAACGTGAACATGTGCAAGGACACTTACGACAGCCAAGTTCATCTGTCCCATCTTGGCAGTCCAACTTCCTGTCGCAACGCTTGTTCTCATCGATGCATGCACCGTTACTACAGCGGAACTGATCCCTGCGACATTGCCTAGGCACTACGGGGTAAGATATATAGTGCGTTCATCAATATCAGGGGATAAGAGTATAAGACAGAAGAGCAAGATGATCACTAAAGAGGGTGGGAGTATCAGACACAAAAGCATGTTCATCTATTTAAAAAGAGAAAAGTGCAAGATAAAAGCATTTTAATCAATAAAAAGGATACCTACTCATAAACTGCAAAACTTTCCAAATTTGTACATCTCTCTCTACTTAGGTTATGAAAATTAATTATGAATAATTATTGTTAATAAAATAATTCTGGGAAAGAAATCAATTTCTTGGAATTTTATGAGTAAACTTTGTATAGAAAAACCTAATAAGAAGCATGCCTGATTATATCTAACCCTAAGAAAGACCTAGAGAGAGAAACAATTATCTGATCAGCAAAGGAGTGGATGACAAAAATGTCAAAGTCTGGCAGATAGGAATTTTGCATCAGTGTGGTATAGTTCACCCCTTCAATATCTTCTGAATACTGGAAAACCTCTATACAGGAATGCGCCTCCATTTTTAAAGTAATATAATATTTTTAGGGAATTTCACCTAGATTTGATGAAAAATTATACATTGAGCCAAATCCAAAAAAATCTGCTTCATCAAGTGATCTCAAAGAAGCCCTCCACATCAGCAGAAGGCCACAAGGTCACACACCTCTTTAATCTTTTTTTTTTTCGACAGTCATTATGTCAATGTTTACTTTGTATCTTTTCTTCTTCATATCTAAACACTGTATGGCAACAACAGAACACCGTTTTAAAAATTATAAAAAAAATTGATTTAACAGGCCATTCTGCTGAGGAAAATTGAAAACTTAACTTCTCCATACTAAAGAACTTGTTTACCCTTCAGTTACATCACAACACTTTCCATGATCATACACAGCAGTTAAATGTGTAACCATACTCGGTAACCATGAAAATATAAGTCACTATCACAGACAAAATCTGTCGGAAATTGCTACAATTCCTCTTAGTATTGCAAAACATCTAAACCTTTTACTAACAGTTGTATGCATGTGTCAAATGCCAGAGACTTTGGGTAATTGCCCTTACACTGAAATCAAGAATGTGATCAGAGATGAGGGGAAATAGAGCTCATTCTCTCATAGCTTAAAAATGTCTACCAGCTCTTTTTTACAAACCATTTGTCAACATTTCCAAAGCAAAAATAAATGGTCTCGATACCTTATCAAGTAGAAACAGCTTTACAAGGGTGAATGCTTTCAACTGGTAAATATGCCACTTTTCATTGTATTTGTATCACTAATTAAGACTTAGCCATAAAAAAGGATTTATTCAAGTATTGGGCCTACAAAAATATCTCTATTTGACAAAAACAAAGGCTCCATTCACATGCAATATCTATTTTCTAAATTCTATTTTCTATTCGCGGTATGTCTTATGATCGCGGTCTGTGCCCTGAATATCCCGCGGCGTAATTACTGGCAGCGCGAGCCAGTTACTATAAGTTACTATAAGTACACAGAAAGTGTATCTCTACAGTGTTTTATATGCTCAGGTGGATCCAAGAACTTACCCAGGAAAAGGGGGAGAGGCAAAATTAAAAGATTGGCAACCATAAAATAGTAGCGAAGACGATTGTGATGCTATATGAAAGATATAGAAATTGTTTTTTCTTGTTTCACCAATACTACTTTTTATTTGAAGCGTGGGGGGGGGGGGAGTGAAAAGGGCAAAATGGGGGTATTTACAAAGCTAAGATCCATAGTGTCCCTTAAATCTGCTGCTACTGTACCTTTTAACCACAATGTAAATTTTTTATCTTTCTAGACTAAACCATTTCACAAAGACACACAGACACACACATATATATACACACACACACACACAGTTCGAAAACTTACGGCAGTTCTCTTCGTCACTCCTGTCACGGCAGTCAGGAAAGTTGTCACAGCGACGACGACTGTCGATACATGTTCCATCGGTGCACCTGAACTCCCCAGCACTACAGCTAGGTGGCGCTGGAAGCAAGATGAGACAATGCTTTACAAGAAAATGGAGACTATTTGCTGTTATCGTGATTCATCCAGGAGACCATGGATTTCTGATGCCATGACGATTGGATGACAAGAAAGTATTTAACGAAGAAAAGGGAGCCTTTTTGTGTAATTTGTTGTGTATAACAGCTACCAAGAACTTGTAAATCAGAATTTATTAACGATTTGTCAACTGTATATCAAAAAGATATACATTAAACTGTCTGGTAATGATGAGCTTTTTGAAACAAAAAAAGCAAAGCCGAAGCACTTGCACAGGTTTCTTTTTTTTTTTAAATTTAATGTACAGCAATGTTTGTGAACTATTATCTACCCTTACCAAAGAACTTCTTGCTTTACAGCAGTTACAGCTATTTTCTCAAACCTTAATTTTGTGGGTTTTACAACTGAATATATCAACTAATGTACGTAGATCAAATCTAAGACCTGTTACACTGGAGATGGGACAAGATAATACACTGCACCTCAGACCAAAGTAGTTTTTTGTATTTCAAAGCACTTACATGTCCATTTAAAGGAAGAACAGTTTAACTGTAGAGTGTGAAGTGTACAATTACAAGGATACATTCGGTATCACCACAATTTTCTAATGCATACATTCATTTTCAATGGGCCCAAGAGCGTAGGGTCTGTATGGAATGTTTCTTCATTAATATGTCTATCATAATTTATAAATTAACTATTACTATAATTTATCTTTAACCATATTCACGATGGTAAATATCTAACTTCACAACCTTATCTCAATAAAGTAGGAAAATATCAATTTTATGAGCAAGTGATTTATAGTGCAATTATTGTATATATGTCATAATTTCAGCACACCGAAAGACAGAATACAAATTATCACTGTTCTCATAAAAAAAAAAAATTAAAAATAATTTTCATGGAATACATTCACACAGTAAAATATGTTGTGCAATTTTAGCAACTATCTAAAAACAAAAGGAATATGTGAATCTATATATGATGTATAATGGGAGTGAAAATATGGTTGGTACATTAATATTCCTTCACAAATTCGAAAGAGAGGAAGATTTATTTTAGTTTAAAAAGCTGTGTCTATACAAATTATTAACTTTATTTGAACACATTAGGTAGATATTTTGATCGAAATTTTGGATAATCACATTTATGAACAGCAAACACATTTTTATTGCCACAAATTTAAAAGCTTTAAACTTAAAACTAATAATCTTTTGAAGGCAGAGCTCAATCAGTTAACTGTAAATTGTAATATTTTTGTTCATGTTGGATATGAATTTCTTTGTGTAAACACAGCTTTATTTGTAGATACATTTTTAATCTACTCTGTGATTTTGGCTAAGATACGTGTTGTGAAATTGTTAAAAAAATAATATCAATAAATGAAACAAAGTGCAGGGCACTACTACCATCTAAATCTAAAAATTAATTAGTTAAAATGAGTGCTTCCACTATCCAGAAAAACTTCAATATTCTTTTTTAGAAATGTAAGCAACAACTATAGCCAAAAATAATAATTTCTTTAAAATGTCACGCATTAGGTTCAAATGTATAATGAGTTGTCAATATTTTTCTGTAAAATGGAATTCACTATAAATTATTTACCTCCACCACAAGACCATATTTTAGAACACTGAATAATATATACATAATATAAGACAAAAATATATATATCAAAGGCACAACTATCACATTATAAGGCAGTATACCCTTGTACGGCACATTGCACTTCATTATAGCCAAAACTAAGCTATGTAGTTGTATGTAATATGGAATATCTGATTATTATTGAAAATAAAAATAAATAGCTGGTTTAGAGTAGTGCTGCAAAGAAATTCATAATCAGAACGAAAAATAAGCAGCAGAATTTATTACCAGTAAACTAACACACACACATATATAATACCAACATAAAAACACTGAAAACAAATACAAAACATTTGAGTACATTTAGACATAAACATGCAACCGCTAAGTGCAATTTCGTGAAGGGAGCGCTGTACACGCACATGCACCGCACAACTTACGACAGTTCTCCTCGTCAGTGTTATCTGCGCAATCTCGGTGGCCATCGCAAACTTGTGTGATTGAAATGCACGAGCCAGATGGAGCATTTGCCGTGCCGCCATTACGACACTGAAACTCGTTTGAATAACAGCGCGGCGCATCGGTTGCTATGGTAATTGATACAGGATAGTTGAGAGATATTTGCATTTGCTTAAAGCTAATTGATAATATCAAGAATATACAAAATATCTGTCATAGGCAGGAAGACCCTGAAGGTTAGAAAACTAATAATATGTCATCTCTGTTGCCAAAAATTTCAATTTTTTTTTCTGAAAAAGTTGACTTTTATATCCCCCTTACTGACCCAACCTGAGAAAATGGCACAGCTCAAACTGCCATTTACAGCAGGCCTTTTTTGACCCAAGAGCCATTCTTTCATATCCCCCAAAAAGAATCATGCCAGATTTTGGACATCCTTTATTTTCAATAATTTAAATTCAACATATAATGTCCACTGTCAAATACATGGCGTTCAGGGTAAGTTTCAAGCAAAATAATTCAATAGAATTCATCATTCATGCATAAAACAAAGCTATTCTTGGCAATGACTAAATAATGAGAGACAAGCACAGAATTTAGATCCACCATCAATGGACCTTGTTCATGTCACATTTCAGACGATAGTGGATTGAAGCATAGTGTACTGCTCTCAGTATTTAATTTCTCTAAGTAAAAAATAACTCTGTTTTGTCATCTCACCTAGAGATCATAATCTACCTTTTACATAACAATTGAGCATGCAGTTGAAGTATAAAGTATATCCCCTTAATTGGTGTCTTAATAATTATAATAATAATACCTTTAAAAGCAGTATATCAAAGACAATATCTTCACAGTAGTAAACCTGTGCCCATTAGTAATAACTGACTTGGCAAAAACTTTAGTCACATTTGTGAGTTGAACTTGGTGATCAGACAATTAAGTTTGGGTAAAGCCCCCTTTTCACTGGGCGGTGTCCTTTCTGTGTCCAGCAGTACGGTCCCATTTGAGAGTAAAAAAATGATAATACTTTATGTGCTGACAACTGGCCTATCATTAGAAATCCATTCTGATACCAAATCAATGCTCGTGCCTCCTTATCACGACCATAGCGATGCCAATTTCATGGTCGCGGAAAGGACGCCATTCAGTGTAAAGGGAGTATAAGCAAACTTTTGGTAAGAAAATTGAATTGTTAAGTTGGCTTGGTAATTTAGATGGCTAAAGAAAAAACATAAACTGTATATCTGTGTGTGTGTTAAAAAAAATTTATGCATTTCATTTATTTTCACCACTATTTGCACGTGTCTACAAGTTGAAACAGAGCAGAAGCTAACTTATTGACTCTAGTTGAGGGGTTTGCATTTATAAAACAAGGGTTTTACAAGTTGTAACATTGGAAAATTGGCCAGTGAGGAATTCTTTTGCTAGCAGAGATTACAAAAACTCCATCACTTCAATGATAATTTGACACAATTCCCAAATTGCCCCATATATAAATTGACACTAAAAACCCCCCATTTATTACAATTTACCCCAAAACAATAGCATTACACATAAAAATGTCTCAATTTACTATGACTCACCCACGGACCACCAGAATTACAACATTATGAACACCTTTGCCTTCCAAAAAGATGTGTGTTCACCAGTCTTGGAACATAGTATATAAAGGGCAATGTGATTTGCTAATGACTCAAGCTGAAATAGTTTACCCATCTGGAAGTCTGATTAAAATCTGGCACCAAGGCTCAAGGATTTTTTTTTTCATTTTTCAACTTTCTTTTCTTTCAAATAGAGCATGCTATGCTACAACTGAATACAGTAACATGCAAAACAATAGTCAGAGATGTACACTTGTACCAATGACATAAATTTGGTATTGGGCTGTGACCCTTGCTTCTTTCATTTATCCTTTTTGACTTTATAATCTTTATAGATTATAGAATCCTTTACATATAAATGTGCAAATTTGACTGCAAATGACTAGAAATTATCATTTATACTTTTTCAGGTCCCAGAGAGTGATGTGCACCTTCTTATATGCCAGTCAAAAATGCAGAAAAGTTAAAGGGGCCATTCAGAATAGATGATCTGAGTACCAACTGATCCGCCGATTAAATATGGCTGACCACGCTTCAAAAGGGATGCCACTGAATCCATGATGGTCTTCCTGCCTACACAGGCACCATCGCTGCAGGGGCCTAGCAATCACTTCGGAGCCAAGATTTAATTCGTTTAATGGCGCGTGTGGATACGGGAGACCATCGGGAATCAGCGGCATCACTTTTGAAGTGGAGTCGGCCATATTTAGTCGGTGGTTCAGTTAGTACTCGGATCATCTATTCTGAAAATGGCCCCAAAGATTTCCCTGGGTAAACAATCCTGATTGATTGGAAGAATGAACCATGGAGCCTTCAATTCTAGCAGCCTGAGATAGTAAACATTCCGGAAATTACTCTAAGAATCATCTGATCTATTTTTACCCAGGCAGTATTTACTCAAAAGGCTCTTGCATTTTACTAGAAGGTGTGAGGCAGGATGGTAGAATTGGGAATTGTTTTTTGCTGTTGATATTCCTGTTCAATTCTGCCATTGGTTTACATATATGACTTTATTACAAGTTTTGTTTTTACACCGATACCTCACAACGCCTACAGACACACACACACATGCATACATGTACATACACGCACACTGACATTTACAAACCTGCATATACATACACATGCATGCACACAAATCCATGCATGCACACACACAAACAGATGCACACAGGCATACACACACACACACACACACACACACACACACTTATTACTTAAATTTAACAAATCTCACTGGAAAGAGGCACCCCTTTGGGCTCATAGTTTAAGTGGTCCTTCATTTTAACCTTCCCTTTGTTTTTTCCAAACCACAATTTAGTTACTCACACATTCTCATGTGACAGTCCTCATTTTTTTTAAATCAATACATTCATGCTGCTGACATTGCTTAAGGGAAATCATTTCTTAGGGAAATTCCGTAGTGTTTTTTTTTAAAGAAATATGACTTAGAAAGTATGCAAATGCTACACCCTTCTTCGATTAACGAGTCAAAAGATATATATTCACATGACTGTATGGCTCTCACATGCGTAACCTGTCACACGAAAGGAGTGAAAAAATATTTTAAGATTGAAACATGTGCTTACAAAAATTGCACTCTTGCCAAATTTTAACCCAGTAGTTTGCTCATATTATTTAAGCAGGTGAATTTGTTTTCCACTGAGGGCTTTTTTTCTCTAGAAAACTCATTGGCTTCTTACTGTAAACTGACTCCAAGAATGGCAACATATAAAATATACTTAATATACATCAACCAAATAAGTTAATAAAATAGGTTTTGAATAATAAACAAAAGCTATATGTAGTGGGAAAATATTCAGTGTATATAAAAACATAACAAATGGTGGATGTATTTTCCTTCAATATTTGGTTAAAATATTTCCCTTAGCTTATATGGTTATTTCACAATTATTAAAAAAACACGTTTCCAAATGTATTTGGTTGAGTGAATAATCTGGGTAAAAGTTAATCAGAAAGGTGCTAGGATAGCACATCAGGTGAGAGAGAAGAACACAGCTTACTGACGGAAATAAAAACTGAGCCAACGCCAATAAAAACAACATGGCCCAACTGCTGGCATAGCTGGGCAAATATACCCATCTACTAGAAAAACACATCAAATTAGGCCAGGTTATTCCATTTTTAAATATGAGGATGGGTTTCAGCTTACCTGCTTAGGAAAAACTGCATTCTGATTAATTTTTAGCATGTTTGTGCACAATATCTTGATTCCATTTTTAAAAGTGAACATTTTTGTTATTCATAAAATCTATATTTAAACAGAGAGCCCCAAAACTTGCTGCCAAATATTAACATATATTTTTCTCATTTTCATTTTTTTGCACTTATATCTTTATTTTTTGTAACATAATGTCCATCCACCAAAATATACTTCAAATGAAGTTACATATCTCGCCAATGATGCATTTTGAAAAAAAAAAAAAACTCTTAAAATCCCTACTAAGAATTCAAATGTAATAGCCCTCATCTTCAGCCTCTATGGGACCATACCCAGACCCTATCGTACTAAATGTGGATCGATCTATCTACAAGGGGATTCTCATTAAATTGCAAGCAACTTAAGCAGCTTAAATGTCTGTCATGCCTACTGAAGCTGCTAAGCAGTAATTATCATTTAGCAGCTTCAGTAGGTGTGCCAGACATCAAGCTGCTTCAGCTGAAAGCAATTTAGCGAGAAACCCCTTGGAGATGGATCGACTCTGTTAGATCGAACTAGGTATGGGAACCCAGTCTATCTTCAGTGTTTTAATAGCAAACACCATCAAACTACCAGCCTGTGAACTTGTATGCTATTTTAATTGCTCACATTTTGGGAAAGGGGACTGAAATTGCTTCTACTTCCTCATATGAAAAGCTGGCAGATGTCTGCTGCAGAGCACACGAAGTGAGAGGGGGGAAAAGTACGCAAAATACTTGTAGGCCCTTGAAAGAAGACAATCCTATTTTAATCTAAATCAAAATGGTCTTGCTTTTCTGTAGATTTTATCTCAAGGAATTCTAGAGGAGAATATCCCAAGAAAAAGGTAAAAGGGTAGGGGGTCTGAAACGTGTTTCTAAAATATCTTATGGGAGGCTCAATATAAGAATCATGGAATCAGATCCAGATGTTACTGAATGACCTTACTATAACATTTTCCATTTTCAAATTTTGGTCATGCAGGGCAGATAATTTAGCTCCTCAAAATAATCACAGACTGTATGTATATTAACTGAGCCATAATTCCATGATAACAATCTTTTGAAAATGTAAGTATACCTCAAAATATAACTGCCATGTTTAATACAGTTACTACACATCATTTTAATCCTTGAGACACAAGACCACTAGGTGATAGCTTTCAAGTGTTTTATACCCAGAGATATATGAGTGTCTCCAAGAACATTTAATCCAGACATAATATTTATGGCAGATGAAATCTTCAAAAACACTGCAGTACTAGATGAAAAACAGAGGCCTAGCTACTTTAAAGCCTAGATTACATTTGAAATGCATTGCCGGTACAGTGCATGTATACTGCCTGTAATCCCCTTTTCGTACGGCGTTGGAGCGGAGGTAGACTGTGCTTGTGCGAAATCGCATGGAGTTGAATGGATTTAAATCCATGTAATGTAGACATACTTGGCGAAGCCCGTAGCTCCTTACGATTTCAAAAAAAAAATTGTATGGACAATTTCATCGCACGGCGCCCGTGTAAATGTAATCTAGGCTTAACTGATGATGTGACTATGTAGTACAAAAGTCTGAATATAAATCCTGATCTTAAATATTTTCACTGCTGTGAACTTTTATGGGTTCCAACTCGCATATAATCATTAATTTTGCCCAATATCGACTTTACTTACACAGAAGAAAATGAAAATAATATTCAAGTTTTTTTGCTAATTTGTCATAGACTTAGTGAGAATATATTTAGTAATTTATCACAAAAATAATAAATCATATGCTAGCAAGGTCACAGCTATTTTGTTGTCTTAATTCACTTAAATTCACTTAAATTTTATAATTTGCTTAAATTTCACCCAAATCAGAATAATCTGACCTACTGACTGAAACAATGTAATAACCCACCATTTTCATATCTTTAAAGTATAAATTAAGTTTCAGCGGTAAATGGTAATTTTAAAATGTTAGTGTCAACAAGCAATACAAAGTGTACTGTAACAGTAAATCAAAATATTTAAAGAATACTCACCACAATTTTCTTCATCTGAATTATCAGCACAATCTCGATGTCCATCACACCTTTGGCCTAACGTGATGCATGCGCCGTTATTTCGGCACCTGAATTCCGTGGAATGACATGTGATGTCTGGTGGTGACTGTGTTGGAAGAATTGGTGCTAAAGAGAACAAAGTCGAGAAGAATAGTAATAATTTCATCTTATTTCCAGTACTTGCTTTCTAAAAAGAAATATTTGTTGGATTCTGGTACTCCTAGAAAAATCCTGGCTGTCTGCTGGTTTGTTTCGCTGTCGTCTGCAAGAAACTCGACAAAATTTGCACAAGAAAGTTCCACTAGGCTTTCTTCCTCGAACTCTATCTGTTCCTCTTTGAAAAGTAAATCAAACAACTTATTTCCACTATATAATCTTCTCCCATTGATCAAATATCATCAAAAACTGAAAACAAAAAACAATTCCATTTTTTCCTCACAGCTAATCCCTCAACAAAAAACAATGGTGCATCTCCAAGCTCATCAGCAAAAAGTTTTGAAATAGGGCCTTGAAACAGTTTCCCAAAGTAGGTCTCTATCTCAGTTTCCCTGGTTCAAGTAGCATTTGAGGTAGAGTGTATATCTTATTACTTCCACACCTAAGTGGTTCGGAGGTAGTCCACTACTTCAGAACGCAGTCCAGTCCACTATTGCTGCACATCTGTACTACGAGGCTCCCGAGGCGAAAAAATCCAGGGCCTCACTTCACACTGCCATCAGTAGCTACTGGTTCTGTCCTTAAAGATGTTGTCCTTCTCTAAATTTACCTGGACAGTAAAAACACGGATTGAGCACAGTGGATTCCTACATTGCCAAGTAATTTGCTAATGACGACTTTGATGAAACAAGCCTCCAAATAATGTTCCTAAAAATGCTATTCACACTCCAGAAATCTTAAAGCACTTTTTCAGCCCAGGACAAGATTGGACTAGAAATCAGACAACCTCAGAACTTATAAGATTACTGAGAAATTTTAGTCTCTAAAAGCCATGGGATGGCTGGAAGCATTCTCAGGCATGAAGACCACATACTTGTATTACAATAATGCTCTTATGTATTTTGCCAAATTTAAGAACCTTTTCAACCCAGATCACAAATTACCTGACAGCCTATATCACTTAGCCAAAAATATTGCTTCCAATTAACAAAAACATATAGAATTAAATAGCTTAAATGGAATTAACATAAAATTCCACATCTCTAACAACCAGTTTTGACAGTGGGTTGAACTGGTGCCATTTGCACCAAAGAGATGCCAGCTTAAATTATGGTTCACCTTTGCCAACAGTTTTACACTTCATTTCTAGGAAATCTGGATTCTTCAAGTAGCAATTCCCATTGTTTCCAGGTGCCATTTTCTTGCTGATAATATCATTTTTTAAATTCAAAACATTTTTTCAAATTTTGAGTATTATCATAGAAGTCACCCTACAGCTATTTAAGGAGGCAGAGCACTGTTACTGTTACCATGGCAACACCTTAACAATTCTGATGTCATCTAAGCTGAACCAGAACTGGTTAAAATAATTTTTCAAAGTGAACATCCCTTGGTCTGCTGCTGTGAAACCCTCCGGTGGAGAGCCTCACTTGGCACTGGCTATAAACCAGACTCACCTGTAGCAGACTGAGGCAGCAGAAACTAACAGAACAGTAACAATATGGAGTCCTGTGCGCATTCTGTACTTATACTGCAACCTGTTCACACGTGGTCCAACTTAAAACCATCCGAGGCTCTAATATGCTTAAGTTGATCAAATTTCGGCATTTTTGATAAATTTGTCTGAGAAACAATGCTCACTTTTAAAATCTATTCAATACTAAAATAAAATATTTCATATTATAAATACTTACAATGTTCTCATATATTTCAACATTATTTTATTTCTGTGCTTTATCTTCCAAGCATGGGCATTTTAGGAGGCTACACCATACTGCTGATTTTTATTTAGTGACAAGTTTTAGAATTAAAACCGTTCCAACCTGATCCTGTCTGAACTGGCCTTAGGTGTACCAGACCAGTTGCTCCTGGTTATAATAAAGCCCAGTAAATCACCTGCCTGACCCATGGCCCTCACCTGTCCATTTAGAAACTATTTCTGGACTTTACTGGTTAAATTAGCTGCTAAATCAGAGGTCACTTTCCTAGGTGCTTTACCTAAATAGATTAAATAAATGCTCCATTCAATCCAACGTAGATACAAGCAGATTTTGTTTCATACTTATTTTAAATATGTTTCCAGATTATTTTTGCAAATTGTTTCCTAAATGATTTAATAGGTGCTCAAATCAACACTAATTTAGTTTAAAGAACAGACATTTAGATTTCTTAATGGACTTGTGAAATAATTGGACTTTTTTTACATAATTTGACTAATATGAATATTGCAAATTTAGCAGTTGTTTTTAACTGTTTTCCACATTGTATACATTTTACTTTCAAGATGATTTCGACATGGACCAGTAGTTTTCCAAGATATATCACCATCTAACCTGTCAATTACCATGAACAGTTATCAAACCAAATTGTCTCCTTTCCAGTTGTTTTTCACCAGGGAAGATTACCTACAACTTTTTTGTGTGAAATATATAATTAAATAAATTAAATAAACCAATTTTAATTCAATGAAATATTTCATTCCCACAAATACTAATGCTTCAAATAGTTTTATCTGTCAGATTCAAAATAAAACCTAAAACTTCCAGACATTCTTTGAAACAAAATTTCCAATGCCCCATAAAAATAAAACCACATATATCATTCTCAGAAGGAAAATAACACCAACTTAAACTTGAATTCAATTCTGACTTGATATAAATGCTTATCTCCTCGTTCAAAAAGAAGCATATTTCCTCAATTGTTCCCTAGTTTTCTATAAAAATTCAAACTGGAGGCAATCACAATTGTTGCCACTTCAGAAAGATACAGATTATTACATAATAATCCTCTATACTGATTATGCATCCTTGTTGATTTGCTCTATTACTGCTTATCCTTGTGAATATTTGCTCATTTCTTCAATCGCTCCTAATCAACATTCTCCTCGATTTCAATGAATCTTTCACTATAGTTTCTATCCCAATTGTCAAAAGATTTTCCCACTAATTTTTTCCCAAAACTGCTAGGTTTAAAAGGCCAGTGACAACGTCAAGAACAAGCTTGAAGGTTACCACTCTTCCTCCGCTCTCTCGTCTTTGCCTTCCCTTCCAACTCCGCAGTGCTCTGCCTACACTGGTTGCCTCCAATAACAGGTTCTGCAATGGCCACCAGGTCTCAGAAGTTCTGACAAATGTTTCCGTATAGAAAAAAAAACAATTTGAAACACATTTATAATTTTGCTCCTTTTCTATGCAGATCCCTAAACCTGTATAATTGTTCTCCATAAAAAATATATATCAAATACCCCTTCATTTTTTTAACATGAACTTTATGAAGCTATTGCTGCAAATTGTGAAGAAAACATCCTGAATTTTCAGCTTTTTATATAAACCACCTATCAATTTGCATGATGCATAGCGCCTGGTGTCAGAATTGTGTTTGTGGGCCCAAATATCACTTCATCAACACATAACTCCAATAAAGATGACTAAAACGATGGCTGGCTGGCTGCTCACAGTTTAAACAATGGCCCTGATTGAGTTGGTTTATAACCATGAGGCACATCCACAGATTTTATTGGATGATGAGACGTTATGAGGGTGGGCTTGCTTCTGGCGAAACCTTTCTCAACATTTTCTTTGTCACTTTTTCTGTTGTGACTGATTTATCTTAATGGCAAGCAGACTGTTCCCATTTACTCCTTTCTCTTTTTCGCTGTCTGCCAAAATATGATTGTTGGCTCAGCGAAACATTATAATAATGAAGTTTGTTCCTGTCAACATGCTCTTTACCAAACTGAGCCTCTCTCTCACACCCACTTCTCTCTCTCTCTCTCTCTCTCTCTCTCTCTCTCATACACATTCACAGACAGACAGACACAAACCATTAAGTGCCTTTGCTTCTCCTCTTTCATTCTTTTCCTCCTTTAATCACTCTCTCCTTCTCTCCTCTTTGAACCAATACCAAAAAAACATACAAACAATGAACAGCCATATGCCCGCCACCACACACCCTTGCCTTCAACCCTGCCACAGAGCTCCCTTACAAGCCCCAGTATGTTTTTTCAGCATGGTTTCCTCTGTCTGACAACAATGCTTCCAAAGGGAACTGTAGACTCATTGATCAGCCGGTGCTGGAAGTGATTAGATGTGTTTTACATGCTATGGTTTAACACCAATTCCTGCAAAAAAAGAGGCAATACCTGCCTGTTGGACTCGTAGCATTTTAACACGGCCCTCGCTCAGGAATTGTAAATGTAATTATACATATACATCTCAAATGCCAGGTCTTAAAAAGTTAGTTGTGGCAGACAAGTATTTGGACAAAAGACTCTCAATTTAAAACAGCAGACATGGCCTAGTGAGCAAGTGCAGACGTCTGTTCCAAAAATCAACCAACCTTTTTGATGTTATTTTCTACAGATTTTCGCAAAACCAAAAAATACATATGACCATGGATAAATATTTTTTTCAAATGTCTAAATACACAAATGTTACCCTTTATAAATTTTGTAATTTAAATATTATACTTCAAACAGTTTTTGGAACAGAAAGCTAGACACACTGATTGAGTAAGCAGCTGCCATGTGCTCATATATATTATACAACTTGATTTGAAAATTATATTAATTAACTGAACACCACACCTGCCGAAATGCATTCAACTGAAAGGAAATGATTATTTCAACGTACAGATACATGTAGAGAATGTTCAATTAAACAGTCTAGCACAAATGTCGTATCTCCCATTTTATCAATGAATATCTGAATGCCCTTAAACCTCTCTCTCTCTCTCTCTCTCTCTCTCTCTCTCTCTCCAATTTCAATAACTCAACAATAACTCATTTATTCCTTCATTCAAATCTAATGTTACACTCAACAAAGTGCAGAACACAACCAATTATCCGGTGGTGCACTTTCCACCGTTGCAAAACATATATTTTATTTCAAACCCATAAATCTTTTAACCATGGAAATTAAACTCCATTGCAAGCAATTTTTCAATTTTTTAATCACCATTCAGAGGTTAGGCACTGACCTGCAACGAGGCTAACAGAAAGTTATGACTCATTCAGACGCAATTAACCTTTATGGCAAAAGATTCAATGGAGCTTAAGAGAAAACAGGCACAAATTATTTTCCTAACAACACCCTCAAAAGGTTATCATAACCCTCACAAGCTATCATACTTCCTGTTCTATTGATGTTCATGAAATATTCAGATACATCTCTTTAACTTCCTCTTTCTTCTGTTTTTCATAATTTAAGTGTACAACATATCACAATCAAGAATCTCACCAAACACATTTTTCAACAACCATTGTTAAAGAATATCCACCTTTCACATCTCACACATTGTTATAATAATCAGTCTTTGTTAAATCATGCTAAAATTTTATCATTTTTATAGCAGCTGATATTGAAAAATTATCTCAGAAAGACCATTGTTACATGTGTGTAAAAACATGGGTGTGTTATAATCATTAATTTTCAAGGTTTTAATTCTATGAATTTGTACTAATTCTATGCATTTAAATTGTTATTTTCAGTTTTATTCCATAGTTAATGACATGAAAAACAAAATGTTCATACACAATAAGAGTAATTAGTTATGCAGCTGCTCAGATCCGAATCTAGTTCAATTAATTGAACAATATAGCCTGCCACCTTTCAATACAGAAAGAAGTGGTCACAATACCCTTCTCTTTCTCTCTCTCCCTCTCTTTCTATCTCTCTGTCTTCTAAAAGTAGAAGTGGTCATCTTACCGGCTACAGGAATTGGGTCGACCAAGTTGGTGACCTCGTACTCCATGGCTCCCTGAAGTGCATACGTCCTCCTGTCGTATCCTCCCGCGTACAGACCCAAATTCAGAGGGATATTCTCCGTGATATCATCATCAAAAATCTCCACATTATAATTCCTGTACAGCTCGATATCTGAAACACCATCAGCCTGAGTAGCACTGGCAACAACGCCTCCTGGTGTGGATCGTGGATAGTGTATTCCAAGGAAATCGCCTTTTTTGACCTCCCATGCACGGTTTAGTTTAATTTTCTGGTTACCTATAGGAGCTGGAGGTATTGCCACCTTTTGGAGGAGAACCATGTCTTTGTCCCCTAGCTGGCGCCATATGCCAAGATAAGCTGTTCCAACACTTGTCCCCCTGTATACAGTCCATTCAGTGACGTAACCATCGCAGGCAAAAGCATTATTTACCATCAGGTTTGCCCAATTGTTTCCAAGGCGCGGAAGATCGCCAACAGGGCGTCCCGTAAAAGGTGGACACGGCCTACTAACACCACCTACAATGAACATGCAAAATCGCAATTCCTCCATATGGACTTTGGGCAAAGATGCCATTAATGAGCTGCTTGGCAAAAAAGCATTGCTTTGTTAGTGGCTTGCCATTGTCATGCATAGATGGTTAAGCAGGTAGAATACCTTGACGCTACAAACACACATTTTGTTAGCTTGTTGTCTTAGCATAAAATACATCACTTCAATATTTCTCAGGAACTGTAGCAAAGCTATATGGCAGGGAGTTTATTTTAATTAGCTTATTAAGAGCACAACCTGCTGTAAAAAAGTATTTGTAGGCAAAGTAAAGCAAATTCATATGGAGGACTTACAGGGAGTAAAAAGACACCAGAGATCACACCAGAATAAAGAAATATATATATAATAATTCATGCCATGATGTTATCTTCGAAACAGCCTCAGATGGAATTATTTTTCATACTTCACAAGGAAATGGATATTATTAGCCATAATAAAAGCTATATCAGATACTTAGTAGCTTAATAAAACAGTCGATCACACACAATCATTCATACGATTTCACAGCATCTCCAATATGAATCTATATTCAAACTTACACATAAATCATGTCCGTTTTATTTAAAGTAGTCATATCAATACCAAATTCACTCAAAATCAAATTCCACAAAACTGGCCTGCTTTAAGTAAAGGTATGGGCAGTTTCCACCTTGATATTTCCTCCCTATCCCTATAATGGTTTAAGCCCTACAGTGTATGAAATTGTTATCCTATTCTGTATACGACTTAATCAGCTAATACCTTGTGAGCCAGGCCATTAATTTATGTAAAAAATTATTTCAATATTTCTAAGATGGTAATAAATGTAAAAATTATTGTCAGTTTTTTTTTCAGTCACTGGTAAATATATATATATATATATAATACCCATCATCACTGAAACAAAAATTGCAAAATGTTTCGAAAATTTGTTAACAATCTGTACCTCATCAATATGTAACGTACCCAAAACAAGTCTTTCAGTCAACAACAACTTAACAAAAGCATGATTAAAATCACAAATATGGACTCGACTGAAAAGCAATTTAAAAGAGAACATTAGGTAAATCCACCTGAAAGAATTGGTCAAATTATCGGTCTTGTTAAAATTGTGTCAATTTCTCCAAACAATACACCTACTGCAGTAACTATTCAAGTACCTAGGAATGCATCATCTAGCCTTTTTCTTAATGCACCAGACTGCATGCTTGCATTTTACGCTGACAGGGCCTTGATTTTATTTATTTTTCTAACATCTAGAATTGTTTTCTGCTAATTATCTAGAAACATAGTGCACAAAAAATCTACCAATGACCCTATAGGCTAGTCTACGTAATCTTTCAACATCACTGTCAAAGTATAACAAATGCCAAAAAGTTAGAGAACGCGATAAGAAAATGGTAGTATTTTAATAATGTTCTATTTTTCAATTCTATCTAAAAATCTGAACTGATGAAATTATGCAAATTGGTCTCCTTTAAACCAAAGCATGTTATGTCTACATCTGGGTTTCTTTCTTGTAGAACTAAATTTAAACCATTTTTAAAGTTGCTCTAATATTCTATCCCACCATAAAACTACCCCAGCATAGATTACATAGCAATTGACAAAATCTCTCTTCATTCGAATCTCTACACCAGTAACATTCCTCAGTTAGCTCTTCATACCAAAATATTTCAAGCTTTTAAAACAAGCAATAAAAACATTTGCAAAATATTTGGCATGCATGATAAACAAGACAAAGCTATAGTTATTTTAAGACAAAAAGCATTCACCAAGCAAATTCTGAAATCTAGCAATATTCTTAGATTAATATTTGCTAAATGTCAAATAGTAAACCATCACTGGCTGTTGTCTAAAAGTAACCATGCACTTCATGCTGCACAAAAGTAAAGTAACATATTAAAATGTGTCTATAACACATAAAGCATAAAAATTAGCAAGTTGGCCATTAAAAACCATGCTTCAATACCAATATGCAGTGTTTAAAATATAAAATATGACATATTAGCAATTCCAATGTTTTAATCATATCACTCTACAAAGTTAACAGTGAAACATATTCAAAAATGCACACTTTCTTAATTGTTTGCATTGTTTCAAACTTATTTCAACTAATTTGTGGTGAAATTGATGAGTGTCCTTATCATACTTGTACAATCATGTATTTTACTATATATGTAAAGTGTAACTTTCAATCTATGAAACTACAAAATAACTCAGTGCTTGTGATAAAAAACAACTACATTTACAATCCACTGTGAGGCATACTTCAGTCTCAATTATTAACAATTTTCTAAATCCAAAACAAAATCCAAGTGATTTTCATTCACTTTATATAATTACTACAACTGTACTAACAGTGCCATCTACAGATGAGTCCACCACAACCTGCAGTGCCACCTATTGACAAACAGTCACACTTACCTCCCAATGCTCTGAAGCTGAACCCCAATGGGCTGACCCTGTATGCTCCAATGTATCCACTGTTCACTGCATTATTGATGACATTATAGAGATTAAGTTTGTCGTAGTAGCCCTGAGTGCCCAAGTCAAATGTCACCATGAGGGAGCCTCTCCTTGAAAAGTTAAATAAATAAATAAATAAATAAATAAATAACAAATTTCCATTTATCATGGTTCTCTTTTTCAATTATTTTTTTAATGCATCTGTGTGATGTAACATCTATGATATGAAAGTATAACATGCACAATGTAGAAAATTTGTAATCGATCTAACTACACATCTTTTTTTGTGGCCAATAAAAGATAAATACAGAAATAATGAGGAAAGTGCACAGCGATGGCAATGACACAGGTGCTGGTTGTATGACCATAAGTCAAGCTGCGTAGTGTTTGTCCATAAAAGAAATGAAAATAAAACATTGAGATAGAAATGAGATGAAATATATTAAAAATATTTTAATATTTACCTTTTCTTTTACTAGTATTTTATTTTAAGCAAATATCTTTGTATGTTAAAATGATCCATCATGACACTTGTGTTTCAGATTTTTTTTTTGCATTCCCATAACCTTTTTATACTAGCAGGAATGATCTATCTCAGTAGTTATTCTTGCTAAGGCACAGTCAATTTAAACAGCTCTACTATCTGGCACGCTCCCTTGCAAAGTAACATGAACAGCACCATGGACCACAAAGTTTTCCCTACTTTACCTAAGTTATTTACATTACAAGGGGGCATGCTACACATTTAAGCCACTTAAGCTGAATGCAAATTAGATCATTTGGAGGACTGTCAGAAAATGTCCCTGGTCCACCCCTGAGAGATCTGCTGCTGATATATATACTTTTCTCCTGTAAACTCTCCAACCCAGGGTACATGCCACTTACCTAAACTGTAAAATATTTATTTGTTGAGTTCCGTCTATGTCAGCAAAGAGCCTTGTCAGTGCCGCGGCTAACTGTGTGGAAAGCTCTTGGAATTCTGGGCTATACCTGTCTGACAATGCTGGGTGATAGTCCATGGACGTGATGTTGATTGTGACTCGAAAATATTCTGAAATATTCAATTGTTGGAAGAAAAGTGAGAGATGAGTGGAGATCTTAGGTCACATTCAGAACAGTGGACCAACTAGTCTGCGGGTCAAATATGGTGACCCACTAAAAGGCTTACCATCTAGTCTTCTAGTAGACTCTGAACAGGTTCTCCAAGAGGAAGTATTCAAGTGGGTCGGCCATATTTGACCCTTGGACTAGTTAGTCCACTGCTCTGAATGCTGCCTTAGAGGGCAAGGGGGATAAAGTGGCAATGTTTTGAAGCTGATTTTTTTTTACATGGACACTTATTTCATGACAAGATGGCTTATTTCTATATTCATTTACTAGTCTTCACAAAGTAGAATAAAAAATGTACTAGTAAGTGGCAAAAAAGGCTCTTTTATATTTATAAAAAAGCCAGTAAATAAACATATCCCCATCATTAGAAGTGTATTGGCTAACTTTCAAACTAACCAGTAAATCTGCACTAGCAAACTGCTTTCGGAAACATATATCAATCTTCAAGAAATAATCATTTTCTTTTTTCATAATTGTCATCATAGACCATATTACAGTGTTTCCATCTTTAGTAACATGTTCAATACCCCATCAAGAAAAAGGTTAAATATACTTTCATTATTATTTTACCACCCCTTAAAAATACCAAGTTGATTGTTAGCATGCCAGGGCGGTTCTTCAATGTCTAAGAGAACTTAGAACACAATGTGATTTTAATGTACATAGATTGTCTTCCATCCACAATCATGCAAAAACTGTTAACAATACTTGTCTTGTTCTCAGTTGTTTAATAGGATTTTCTAAAAACAAAAGTTAATTTCATGCAAACCTGAACATGTCTACTTGATACTGTTGGCTCTTTCATTTTAACAATTTTTTTTTCTCAAAAAGAAAATGAGCTGACAATAAGAACATTAATTGCAAAGAACAAAAGACTCCATTTTTTTCAAATGCTAATCACAGCTGCTAAATCATCTTTCTCAAATTTCTTTTTTTACCTTGTATTAGAATCCCAGCTCTTATATAATAAATTTCAGTGAACCAGTGACAATTAAACATTTGCTATTTTCAGTCAAGTTATGATATAAAGCAGAAACCTTTAACAAGCTTTTGGCATGAACAAAAGGTACATGTAAAAACATTTTTGGACAATCACAGTTGGGTTAACTGGTTACCATGGGGTCACATATTTAAATTTTACCATTAGGATTTAGTGTTAAAGAACAATCAACAAACGCAAATTATTGTTTCCATCATTGATGATCTAAGTGATTTAAAAACAGATTAAAAGTTAATAAAACTTGACTCATTAACTCTACCATTAGAACTAAATTACAATTGCTACCAATGAATACCTATGGCTTAACTGTCTTGAAGTACTGAAAACTAAAATGTTACAAGTTGAAAAAATTAGTTGCCTACTTCACATTTACTTAAATTAACATAACGGTAGTTAGAATTTTTTTTAATAACTGTTAATCACTAAATCTAACTTATACCTTGTCTCCCACCACTAGAGGGCGTTGTAGCTAGAATGTATGAAAGTATAAGGTTCAGTATGAATGTAAAACATTTAATATTCTCTGCTCTAGGGGTAAATGAATAAAGCATGAGCTATGCTGGTCTGTGCAAAAACAAAAATGTCTCAATCTAAAATAGGATGTTCCTATGTACGAAGCCTTTAAAAATAAAGCAAGGTTGGGATTGCACCTAAAATGATGGCACTGAAAGAGACCATTCCCACAGATATTCAGATCGATCTGTCCCCCTGGGGAGTCTCACTAGATTGCTGTCAGCTTAACCGGCTTAAATGTCTGTCCCGCCTACTAAAAGCTGTACGGGGGTAATTAACTTATATGTGAGCTGGGCGCCCGGAAGCTGACAGCAATTTAGCGTGAACCCGCAGGGAGTTAGGTCGATCCAGATAGATCGATCTAAATCTGTGGGAATCCAGTTAAAGGGAGAGAGAGAGACCAGTCATTGAAAGAACAAATAGGTAGTCAGATTACAACAGCTGATGGCAATTGGTGACATACATATATTCCTATACTATGTGATCTGTAGTGGGTGTGCTACTCAAGAACCAATGGCTAATGTATGTATGGAATATCTATTTCTTCTAGGTGAAGGTCAATTTCAATGTGCAATATATTAGTTCCCTATATTTGCAATGAATGTACATAATAAAATTCTGGAAAACATTTTCTTTAAATTTTGTGACAAGATTTCTTATTCAACTTAAGTTTTTAGCATATAATATTTGTATTCATTTGGCAGAAAATTTCTTCACTTTTGAAGATTTGTGTTTTACATGCATATATTTTTTTGAATAGGGGTTTCTCATTTTCAATTTTTAAATACACAGTAATTTTACACAATTTTATCAGCAAATTGCAGGTTATAAAAAAACACAGGTTTTTTCCAGGTCATTTTCAAAAAGAAAACAAGAATTGCATTCTACATTTTTAAATCGTAGTAAAAATAGCGACTGATTACCCCCAATAAAAGACTAAAAAAATACATTATCATGTTTCAGGTCTGTAACCCTGCAAATGACCTTACATCACTTGTAAATCCAACACCACAAACACTTTTTTCCAAGTAAAACAGAAAACAGAAACCAAAGCTCTGAAATGGTGTAAGTGTCAGTGTTAGTTTGGGAAAGGGGAGTAAAATGTGTCAGGCCACATGTGAATTTGTATTCTTTCTTCTTTTTTTCTGCCTACAGCACCTTTTTTTTTGTCTGTAAAAAAAGTTTTCTGTAAGAAAGGCAATGAAGCTAAAATGTTGACTTCAGTCTTGATGATTTTGTTCTTTGCCATAATATAACAAAACATGGGCATTATAGCAGATGGCACCATAAACAAAAGTGTCCTGGGTTCAAAAGCAAATCAAATTTTAGCCCAATACTTCAAAGTTTGATCTGACTGAGACAAAATGTCAAATCCAATGATTTTGGATGATTTTATCATTAACATGCACAGTTCACTGAGCATCTTTGATGAACTTTAGACTTAAAATAAATATACTGTTATTACTAAGTTCTTTACTGGTTTTTGTCCAAATGTTTCAATGATAGCTCAAAATTTTGTGAGGGTGGAAAATATGCAGCTATTTTGGGCAAAAAAAGTCTATCATTGAGTGAGCCCTGGCACAGATTTGATTAAGATATCTTCCAATTGACCACTACATCTTTATTTAATCAACTCAGACTGATCCACTACATGAATGTGTTTATAGCTAATATAGCATGCTGGGAAATCCTTAAATGTTTGTGAAATGGTCATGACAGGATGAAAACTAAAGCCCCCTTTACACTGGACGGCACCCTTTCTACGTCTCGTAGGGCGGCCCCATTTGAGAGTAAAAAAATAACAATACTTTATGTACCGACAAATGGCCATTCACTAAGCATTCTTTCTGCAAATAAAGTGTTGCTTGTCCCCCATCTCTACGAGACTACGACCACAGCGATGCCAGTTTCATGGTCACACAAAGGACGCAGAAAGGACGCTGTTCAATGTAAAGGGTGTTTAAGGAATGTTTACACTCGGAAATTTTTTTCTAGGGCTGCTTCAAGAAAATCATGTATACAAATAAGCAAATAATTCATATATTTCTTGAGAAAAACAATGTAAACAGTCAGCAAGCAATCATATGAAAACAGTGGTGGATCTTTAGAATACAGTTAAAACTCAACTTATAATGCTGTACATAGATGTAGGACTTAAGAATTAGATGAGTAAGCACATATGTAAAATAATTCTATATAGCATTGGCAACAAAAATAAACCAAAGCAACAAATACTTGGCAATATTGTGCTAAAAAGCTTTCAAAGCAAATGGTATCATTTGACAACATTATGTAAGAAAACTGACACTAACATTAAATTAACAAAATTAACAAATAAACATTATACAACTTATATAATTTAAAACATACTTTAAATATTTTAATTCTTTAAAAAAAATAAATAAAAGCCGCAATTCAAAAACATACACAGGAAAAAAATTCGTACCAGCACATTTAACACAATCACAACTAACACAATATATTATTCTGCTCACACCACCGCACATTCATGCATACAATCACGTACCTCTTAAAGACTACACATCAACACATATTCAAACTACTACTATGTACATATAAACAGAAATCCTTTCTTGATAAAAGCCATTCAAGAGGCTGTCAAAGACACTTTTAAGTAAGAGTGAGAGGGAAATTAAATTACTGTCACCAGCCAAATATAAACATAAACAGGATAACATTACCAAAAAAAAAAAACATTTCTATCAAAAATATCCCTATTTACATTGGACCAAGAGTTCAAAAGTAAAAAAATGTCTTTGAAAATGTCAGATAAATCCACAGCCATCCAAACATTATTTCTGAAGGGATAACTAACAACTTCCACATATGTAATTACCAGTTAATATCCAGTAAATCTGGATAAACATCTTACAGCGTGTGTACCAAGGTTATGAACTGGACGTATGTTTATTTTCACATCTTTCCCTTATTAACAAGCCATGTGTAATATCTTTCTATGGATATATCTTTTGCCACTGACCCATCCTTAGAGCCATTTAGATGGGTCTTTTTCAACCAAAATAATGAAAAATGCTTCATTTTGTACAGATTTACAGAATACCTTTCCTTGTTGACTGTTCTGTCCAGCTTTTTCTTCTGACTTGTTCTCAACTGAGACTCTGGTGGCAGTGATGGGATAATTACTGACCCAATTACCACTAGCTGGGACATGAAAGAGGTCAGAGGCAGTGACAACTGTTTAGACCAATAATTACCCTTACAATTCCACCTGAGAGTTAGATCTGATCAAGCCAGCAGAGATGCAACACCACATAGTCATCAAGCAAAGGTATTTTTTGTATATACACAAAGAGAATTTTCTTTTAGCAGAACTACATAAGATCCAATGAAGTTATCTGGACTGTAGCGATTTGGGGTGAGTGGATTTTTTTGGATTTTAACTACTGTGACCTAAGATTTCTTATTTAAAAATTTGTGGATGGTGTATTCATCATTTGTGCATTTGGCCCCAGTAGGACGTGTAATGGTTCAACCACACATGCAGAGCACATATACAAATGCATACTTGCCTTAAATTGCACACACAAATATGCACATATACACATACAAACATGTTCATGCAGGGTTGTCTGCCTCTGTGCAAACACACACACACACACACACACACACACACACACACACACCTTTCTTTCTAATATATGGACCCCAGACGGGCCAAAGGATCCAGCTAAACAATGACACCACCTGACCTTTCATATAAACAGCCACATCCCAAGTTCCAGCGCCCATTTGTTTGTATTGTTTAAACCCCTCGACACTTTTCACAGGTACCCTTCCAAAACAAACTGCAGAGCTAATCTAGGCCTAAGCCACTTGTCTGGCAGCTTGCTATATATATATTCAGCAGAAGTCAAGTAGGGGTACTTTTTGGTGCCCATCTATCAATATTTGGATGGCTTTTTGATGTTTGCAACCTCTGCCGAGGAACAGTGTAAAGCTCTCCCCTTGACTTTGGTGATCCCCCCAAAATAAGAGCAGGCTAAAATGATAAGGGGCATAGTTTTGAAAGAAGGGTTGAACAAAAAAGTAGGATATAATCAGACAAGGTGTTTCATAACTTCTTATATATATATATATATATATATATATAGAGAGAGAGAGAGAGAGAGAGAGAGAGAGAGAGAGAGAGGGCAGCCTGTCCTCTTTCCCACCTTTATTTTAAAAACTACAGACAATATCTCCACATCACCAATTGATTTACCATCTCCTTCAGAAAAACAAACTCAGAATGAAGTGCCAGAGCCATTAAAAATTAACACATCGTATTGAATGTAAAGAGGTTTACACACAAGAAGTGCAGGATTTTTTGTGGTACTGAAGTAATCATTCTATTTTCTGATCAGACATATTGTAAAAAGTGGAGATGGGCACTACAGCATTTTTGGTTTTAGAAAGTTGTGCAAAGACCCCATTCCCATACCTAGATGGATCTAACAGGATTGACCCATCTCCAAGGGTTAATTTTTTTGTTTAAATTGCTTTCAGTTTTTGGTAGCTCTGATGTCTGGCAAACCTACTGAGAATGTTAGGGGGTAATTAACTATCATTGAGCAGCTTTAATAGACATATCAGACAACTTTGCTGCTTAAGCTGAAAGCAATTTAGGTAGAAATCTCTCTGAGATGGATCGATCCTGTTAGATCAATCTAGGTATGGGAATGGGGTCTAAGGCTTACATACAACTGGTGTAAATAACAGATAGATGTGACATGCTAAAGAAAAATGTCAGCTACTGGTGCAGTTAGAAGAGCCATAATCCTGAGGACTTTTGAAAACTGACCTCATTGTAACAGCTAATTAAACATCTTCAAAAAAAAAAAAAGAAAAGAAAAAAATCTAGATTAAAGGCCACGTGCTGGATTTTTTATCCTGATGCTACAGTTGCAGTTGATGGAAAAAATCCTGCAGTTCAACTGCATGGAAATTCTACCAGTCTTGTTTATTTTCGTATTTATGCTATGTTTGTTTTTGCATTTGGGATCTATTTTTCTTCCATGTGTCATAGAGCCCTAAACATCCCAAGAGTGGCTTATATTTCTAAATTCCAAACAAATCAGGGGTTATTTTAGCTTGGAAAAGTCTTTACATATAGAAATATCAAAGGGCCTAGTCCATACATGTCATCAGTATGATTGATACTTGTATACCTACACCATTAAAAAAGTTTCAATAAACCAGCTTTTGACTAGTTACCATTTAACTCAGGGTTACAAATACAATGGATATAGGGGCAGGGGGGGGGGTTAGGATGTTTCAACTGCTGGTCTTCACTTTTAGATAGAGAATTCTGGTCTTATTCATTTAAGGCTAAACCTTACGTTATCTTCTAAAATTAAGTGGCTAGAGGTGTGATACATGAGATGGTTGCAATATTTAATTTAAGGGGTCTACTTTTGATTTATTTCAGGTTGATTTGTTCACTATAAAATGTCAGTCTAAAGATTTAGACAAACTTTTGGTCCTTAGACTAGGTTCCCATAAACCTATCCTACATGTACTAGCTCCTAGGGGGATTCGCTCTAATTTGCATTCAGTTCAAGTGGCTTAAATGTCTGTCATGCCCATTAAAGCTGTTGGAGGGGGGGGGGTAATAAACTTTCAAGCTCAAGCATGCTTAAACTGAATGCAATTTGGTAAGAATCCCCTCAGAGATAGATCGATCCTGCTAGTACAGTAGGGTTATGGGAATGGTCCCTTAGTTCTCTGGTGAAACCTGGTTCAGGAGCTGGGCCCCAGTTGCTAAGTGTCTAACATGTGGCCCCCTAACACAACCTTCATCATTAGAAGTTCAGCATATGTCTAACCATTCCTACTTAACACAATGGCTTTTCTGAAAATATGTCTTCTGATTGTTTAACAAAAACTAAAACAGCAGTCCGCTCAGCCATGTGTGATTTGTAAGCCATGGTCTGGAACAGTCGAGTTAAAAGGCAAGTATACACATACAGGGTTAAAAACGAACCAAGATGGAGAATAATTTAAGTGATTTTTTTGCAAAGAGTGAAGTTTTATCAAAGCAAAAATGACATAGTTGTGTCAATCTTTTTTCATTCTTACAGCATTTTGATATAAATTGGGTCTGTGCTCTTTGGGTTTGCCCTGAAGGCGATCCTAGCCACAGAGTGTAACTGTTCCTAACCACAACCTGGTGGTCTGGGGCACAATCACAAACATCAGTGAAGTGAAGTGGGTGGTATCTTAGAAACAACAGTGGATTTTTTTTTTGTTTTGTTTTCATAAACTATTTTTTCAAGAATCAAAAAATGACAAAAATTCTTATCAAGAAAATAAAAGATTTATAGACTTATTACAAGGGAGAGAATGTGGGCAAACATAGTAAGTTTGGAGCTTGGTGGTATAAAAAGGCAGACAAACCTGATGAAGGGTACACAAAACATTTTTTCTTTTTTTTTTTTGTGTTTTGAAATCAAGATGGTGCCAGCTTAAGTACGATTCACAATGAACCAACATGGGCCACAGGAAACGACAACATGTAACGAGAGTCATATAAACAATAGCAGGCACTGTGGGAACACGCAAACTCTAGCAGGACAAAAGGCTAGAGGTTTCCTCAAATATTTCAATAAGTCATTTCCCATTATACGACAGCATGGCAGTGTCTTAAAAATGTACTTCCAAGTCCCTGCGAGACAACCCCACTTCCTATGTCTAACAACAAAATAGTGTTTGTTGGTAATGAACTGTAACTTCTCAACTTTGTACAGACTTTTGCCCATTGTCACAATTTACAACTGCAATATTGTAATTGGGTTTTATTTGTCATTAGAAGACATGGCCATTTTATAAATAAAAAATATCTTTCTGTCAAGTATGAAACATCTACTAGAAAAATCTTGAAAGCAATCATTTCAGTTTTTTTTTTAGCTTATATACATGTTCCCTGCTGCAGAACTCTTTTGCTTCTTTTAATTTCCAGAGAGAAAAAATAGGAGAAAGATGATAACTCTGTCTAAAAATATCTCACCAGGAGTAAATATGTATAAACACCAGTGGCAAAAAAAGTTTTATGGAAAAGATAAGTTGTTTTCAGCAGGGGGGAGAGGGGTACAGCAGAATTTATTTCAAATGTTTCTTTTTTTCCCCTTTAATCAGGATTCATCTCTACATAGTCAGACAGATACAGTCTGTTGGACATAATTTGGTCCGTATCACTTCCAGATGTACCACAGAGTTTGCTATGTTCTATGCAGCGTTCCATTTTATTTCTTGTCACCTGTGTCACCCTTATTGTCACCTGTGACAGATGGAGCAGACATGTCACAGAGATACGAGCAGACGTACTATAGAGATACAACTGTCCTGATTGTTCAGACGCGAGATGAATTGAATGAAATTGATAGGCTGATGTTTATCACTGTACCATGTTATAATAATAATATGTACCACGGGACCTGAAGACGTTGGGTCTATGACCCCATTCCCATAGATTTTAGATTGATCTATCCCTGTGAGGAGTCTCACTAGATTACTGTAAGCTTAGCCGGCTCAAGTGTCTGTCCTGCCTACTAAAAGCTGAAAGGGTGTATGGTGTGCGCTCGGCTGACTGCAATTTAGCGTGAACACCCAGGGAGTTAAGTCGATCTAAATCTAAATCTCTGGATCAATCTAAATCTCTGGGAATGCACCCTATTTAGTGACGACATTTGGGACTATTTTTTGAAGACATTTAGGACTTTTTTAAAGGCTTTGGCCTTACAACAAACAAGTGCTATTATTTCAAGTGTGAAGTAATGTTTATAATATTCTTGTGACATTATGTGTCAAACCTGTGCCCTTCGTAATCCAATCCTGGATGTCTTCAAAGGGCTATTCTACAATAACCAATCTCAAAACAATCTTTTCTTTTCCATGAAACTTCTTTCAGACTTTCAAATCCCATGAAAAAGAATATGGCAATTCATCATGTATCTTTTGAAGTGAATTCATACCTATTAAAGTTGGAGTAAGAGTCACAAAGTTTGAAATATTGACATTTATAGCCATCTTTCAGTAAGATGTAGTCTAAGACATCCACCACAACTTCCAGACTACCAAAGATTACTTCTATGTCATAAAACGTACACAAACAGCCATTATACAGACTGAAAGGGGAAATCCCAACTACATCTTGGTACAGAAGAGGTGTTTGCTGGTAATTTTAAAAACAGAGTGAAAATTTGGGACTCCGCAGACAAATACCTCCTTTTTCACAAGGGCATCAAGTGTGGCAGACAAGACAATCCACTTGGGATTACATATGCCATCTGGATGCCAGAAAAGCTCCACAATCTAAAAGGAGCCAGAGATACTTAAATCTACAGCCAGCAGTCAGAATGGCTCATTTCACCAAGAACTGTTACACAACTGGGGTTGTCCAAAGCCCAAAACCATTTGACTTTTTCCTTTTTATCTTTTAATTGAAAAAAAGATCAAAGTTTGAAGCACGTTTGATTGCATTTGACATTTTAGACTTTATTTGAACTAGTGTATTTGGATTTTCAGTTTATCATATTATGATTCATAGGAAATGGGAGGGAGGGAAAAAGACTGTAGGGAAAGTCAATTTTGTTTACTGTCTGTGACACTGAAAGTAACATTTTCCTCTCACTATCCCTGTCACGTACTTCACATGGGTACACATGCATCAGTGGAAAAACTGTTACACACGAATATGTATGCATCAAACATGATTGTAACCTACCTCAACACATGCACACATGACCATATAAAATTTCACAATTGTGAAGACTTTCTCTCTCTCTCTCTCTTTCTCTCTCTCTCATTAAAAACAGATATACACAAACATATGATAATCTCTTACTTTGAGAGATGAGCATACACAAACATTCATGTATACATACACACATTCACACACACACACACACACACACGCACGCACGCACGCACGCACACACACACACACACACACACACACACACACACACGAGCCCCCACACCTTACCTGGATAAGACACAGTGACGGGTCTTTTACTGGTCGACCCGTAACCACTCCCCTCTTCACCGTCATCATCCTGCCCCTCCCCTGACCCTGCCTGGTCGCGTAAATAATCCTCATCGTCCTTTAACGTGTCTACTAGTTTTTTGGCTGTGGCTTTTGCTTTTGAGCTATCTTGATCATAGAATTCAAAGTCTTTTTCCTGAAATGAAAAAAATTTAAGTGGACATTATTTTTAATGCAGTTTAAAGTGGACATTATTTTTAATGCAGTTTTGCATTTGTTTGTTTGTGGGTTTATAATTTCTTCTTTTTTAAGATCAAACTGCTTATAAGTAGAACTACAAACTACGCGTACATGATATTTTTTATTTTAGTTTCTCATACAATTTTGGTTAGAATGATGTGCTAAAAGGAAAAAGAAAATAAAAACACATGTAACGTTCTGTATAATTTTTGCCATTTTTGTTAGTACAGTTTTCCAGAAGGCAGCAGCAATGAACCAATGGCTCTTTATGAGAAAACTGATATTTTAGAACATCAACATATTTCTTTCTTCACAACTTAAAAGCCATTTACATACAAAATATTGGGCAAATGTGTTGAATTTGTCATTCTCAGTGTTCCGTAGGTGTTTTTTGTCCATGCAGTTCACATTGTGGTAGCAACGGGGACTTGCCAAATGACCTGCATGTGCAAGTTGCCATAATAAAGATGAAGTAATGGCTCATAAATGACCCTTTGTATTTCTGTGATTTGTACCAGATATTTAAATTGGCTGCCCAGCCCACAACTGCTCCAAATTACTGGAGGCAAGTTCATGCTAGCACTTGAGGCGTGTTCACACTAGTAAGTGTAGGGAACATTTTTTGTCTTTCATCGAGCCTTCTCCAAAAATGTAATTACAAAAGAAAAAAGAAATTGAGATCCTAACAGAAAAATGTTACTTGAAATTTGAATTATGATCATTTTTTTTTTCAAATCAGTGAATAAGTTCAAAAACAAGCATTAAAGGAAAAGAATCCAAAAAGCCACCAAGACCTGTTTCAGAGAATGCATTTTGCCAGTAATTTGTAAATGATTACTCAAAGTTTATTGCTTGACTGTGGATGTTTGGAGGACTTGAAATATTCAACTAATTTTCAGGAGGAAGTAGTCACTTAAATACACCCACTCCAATAAAACCCTTGAGTCCAGCCATCAGTGCCATGAGAAAGTGTAGGATGCATAAAATTGGCTTTCAGCAATTCTGAGATTGCAACTGAAGTGCTATTTTCATATCTAAATGTAAAAAAAAAATGTTTGTTAATGTTGGTTCTAAACATGGCCTTAATTTGATAAATATCAAATGATTGCCAGCTCAGCTGAAGACCAAGATAAAACTATCCTTCTTTAAGTCTTCTTTTAAGGGATGCCTAATGTTCACCTTAATTCTGGAGTTTGCTGCATGAGGTAATGTAATCCACTGTGCTTTTACTGTATACACCACAAAAGGATGATGAACCAGTCACAAACTTGGGACCAGCTTGATTGTGCCATATGAAGTCACTATAAAAAATACCACTCAATGGGACTCTTAAGTTTGCAAGATTGTAACTAATTGTGTTTCAAGCCGAATGCTCTCAAACCACTTGTAGAAGTGCATGTCTCTTGAAAACTTTAGTAGGATTTTCTATTGGAGGCACCAAAATTTGTTAAAATATATTTCTATACACACTTGACAGACCATCATTGACACTTTGCAATCAGTATCGATATAAAGTTGGTATTAAAACATGTTGTCAGTCAGCTAATGTGAGTTATGTAGGTTGAGCAGTCCCCGAGCATTTGTGTAACATTCTGGAACACCCAAAGTTTTATTTTAATTTTCATAACATTTTGTCTCATATGGCATATACATGAAATATAGGATCCACGTGGGTCCTAGATGAAACGAAGAAGTCACAAATTTTCCCAATTTTCCCATGGACCTCCATCAGACAGGTTTATAAACATTCTCAAAATTATTTCACCCATAAGTAATCAAAGTAATCAATATTTCAAAACAAAGTCCCAGTGGTAGAAGTCCTATTTCAAACATTTGGCTTACCAGATTCTTCAAAATTATAACAGTGACAATCGAGTCTCAGTACCAATACAGTTTTAGATCTGGACCTATTAAAATTATCTTCAGAAAAATATTTTTTTTTCATTTTCTTCTATAACTGTGTTCATATTACCTACTGAAAGTCATAAGACAATAAAGTCTGAAACAGTTTGACATGAGCTAAAACAGTAAATGGATAAAAAAACAAAAGTTTTAAGTTTAAAAAAAAAAAGACGCCCCCATTTTTAACTTAATTTGTAAATACACTGGAATGTCCTTCCTTATAAATCAACTAAATATGAAAACAAAAAAATCCCCTTTCAAGTTGGTGACCTTGGTGCAGTGAGAAGTTCCACAATCTAAATAGATCTAAAAGATCAGTGAAAATATTTTTCTGCTCTCAGTGTGATTTTTGGAGCTTTTCCAGGCTACAAATCTACCTCGGAACACTGCTGACAACATGGAAGGATTTACTGGAATTCCTCAGACTGTTTACTACTTTTCCTGCCACACACAAACACATACACATACTAGTATAGGCATAAAGCTACTGGTTAACATGACCAACCTTTGCAAGTACAAGCAGTTCCAGGTACATGCAGGTCCAGTTATCATTTCTAATTAAATACTCAGGATTCCTGCCTGTATGACCTTTATTTGGTCTGAACAGTATCATTATCATTCTGTCCTTATCTGATACAGTGATTTATGCCACAGTCATGTTTAATGTATCTATGGGTGCTTTCCAAGAGATTTAGATCGATCTAAAGATTAAGATTTAGATCGACCTAACTCCCTGGGGGTTCACGCTAAATTGCAGTCATCCAGCGGGCACCACAGTTAATTACCCCCTAACAGCTTTTAGTAGGCGGGACAGGCGCTTAAGCGGGCCAAGCTGACAGTAATCTAGTGGGACTCCCCACAGGGATAGATCGATCTAAAAATCTATGGAAATGGGGTGTAAGTATCTCACATATTTTTAGTTTAGCATAGGGGGATATGGGATGACCGTTTTCTTAAAACTAGACTAAGTGCATTCATGAATAAAATTACTTTTATGGCAATGAAAAGTAGTTTTCTTTTTGATTATATCATTACCATTTTCTTTAACCTTTCAAGACATAACATTGCAAAATATTTCTACATTATATGGACTTGTAAATAAGAACAATTTGAAATTCACTTATTCACACTTATAACTTCAGCTTAGTTTAAAGTGTGCACCTGTGAGATTTTGTTACCTGATGGTATTTCCCCAAAAAAGTTACATGCAATTTTTATTTCCAATTTTCCAAATGTTGAAAAAAACTTTTCATGTTTTGTCTTAATGTGTACACCATACCCCAGCTATATAACCTCATTACCAGAGCTTGTGGAAACTTCTGCTTGCCTTGAAGAACAAATTGCAAAATGCTCTGACCATGTACCTACGATAAAGACCCTAGATAAGGACCAAATAGACCTGATTTTGGCACAAAAAATCCCATTAAGATAAATAGACAATTTCTAAAAATACATATTATTTATTTACTTGAAGTTCAGACAAATACCTCAAGCCTGTTTGGCCTGATCTTAATGAAAGACAAATATGAAGGCCAGTTTCAACAAATAAATCTTGAGCTTTATCACCAAATGTATACACCAAAGCTGGAAAATGTGCAGACAAATCAAGGTGCATGGACTAAAATCTATTGGATTCTTTTGTGAATAATAGTAAGGCAGCTACTGTCAACACGAATATAAACAGACCTGCTTGTTTTCGAAAGCATTTTGTAGAACATGGTCTATGTTAGGTTTTAATTGCCGTTATTGGGTAAAGGCCACAAAACCCCTCAGTAATAGCTTTCAGAATTTTGTGTTGTGAGGATTAGTCCTCTACAGTAATTGTCAAAGATATTTAATAAATTATTTTCTAGACAACAGTGGATGAGAGTGCTCAAGGTCATGGGTCAGATAAAAAACTCTCAGAAATAGCTTTTGAAATTTTGCACTGTGAGAGGCAAGCCTCTAAATTTATGTGGGGGGCTTGACCTGAACAGGTTACAGCATCTTTGAATATGACAGCAAATACAGATCTAGTCATAATCTTTATGACGTCATAAATGCCAAACTTGTAATCAAGGGCAATTGACAGCAAACATCAAACTGGAAGCCCAGATTAACAGATAATAAATCAGTCAAACACAAACAAAGGTGACCAAATCTATATGTGAGTATTTAAATAGACACTTCAGAATTTGCGTAACGACTTAACTTCAACCCAGGCAACAGGGATGACTCTAAGCATTCTGAAGAACAAGAAAACGGAAATCTATAATTTCAACTAAAACACAAAGAAATATGAGAGAGAGAGGGAGAGAGAGAGAAAGAGAGAGAGAGACCGCCTTTCAAGTGGCAGACATTTTTTTTCTCTGATAACACATTAACATTCTTGAAGAGGTGATATTTACTCTATTCTTCATCACATAGCTATACTCCATTTCAATTCCTTTCCATCCAAATGCCTTATACAAATTAATATAAATACATATTAGCAATGATGAGCCGTGGATATTTCTTCTGCTGTCTGTTAGGATCTGACAGTTCACATCTTATATATAATCACCAGAGAATAGGTTATGCCAAAATAATGGTTCCGCAAATAATTGTTTTTTATGGTCCCAGAGTTCCACCATATGGAAGGCGTCATTAAGATTTCAGACAAACAAACAATGTTTTCTGCCTTGAAACAATAGAGCTGCTTGGTTCTGGCTCTAAAACATCCAGATCCTGCACCCTGTGTTTCAGAGGCCAATCCAGACACTGCACCCTGTGTTTCAGAGGTAAAAGGACTCGGGCTTCTATACCATCAGCATGCCAATGCCATTTCCAGGACCTCTCAAACACAGGGTGACATAATATGTTTCTCCTGCCTAAAATCTACCCAAAATGAAAAGATAATCTCTTCAATAATTGCAGTTAATCCATTGATGCTGTGTCTCAGTATTTCTCTTTTGAATGAAGCCTGTAGCATCCCACAGTATTATTATAATGGTATGTATCAAAAGGAATTTTTGGAGAAAATAAGTTTTATGTCAAAACACCACAGGAATGGCAGTTGACCTTTTTATATCATCC